GATTCAAAGCCAATTCCTCGCAGATTTTACCCAATATTTGACGAGATTGGCTCTCGAGCGACAGCATATCGCCCGGGCACACGGTGGTGTTATCACTGCAAAGCACGAGGTAATAAACAGTTCTCGAGTCATCCTGAGTTTACTGTCAAACCACGAAAAAAGCCAGTCGAGGTAAGTTAGTTTAAGTAATTTTTTGTTGTGCTTAATACTAGAACCGGCTGCAAACCATTAAACATATCAAACATTCCTAAGTGTTTTTCAATTTAAAAGGGGAAGATTTTGCAAATTTTAATTATTGAAAATAGAGACCTTGCGCACGCGCAGACGTTTTGCACGCGTGTCGGTACATGCAGCTATGATGTCAAGTGCTGCTGCAGATACCTCAGTAAGGTCCTCCCTTAGGTAGTTTGCTTTTGCAGCCCTCTCGGAGTGACACATTGCATGTCGTATTACACGTTCATCAAAAGATGCACCATTGTACTTCTTTTGGTGGCAGGTTGTCAGTATCCACTTGCGGATATTTGTCGCCGTTACACAAAGATCTGGTCTCACACCTGATTTCTGCAAGAATTCTGGGAGCCTATTGGCAATTTTTCCACCTTTGAATGCTTTGCCATTGCTCTGCAGGAATAGTTGCTCATCCTGTGGTGCTGGAAATTTAGGACGTATCTCAGCCACGTAAACACCTTAAATATATTTCAAGGAATTGTTCAGGGAAAGCATTGCTGGGCCATCCATCTGTCTTTTGTGATTAGGCACCAAAATCACGTAATGACCACGTTTGGGGTCCTCGCGCATTGATTGGTAATAACACATACAGCAGTTCTGCCTGTCTTAAATGTTATTAGCGTGATTAGGTAATCCCTCGCATCAGTCAGCTGACGTTCGCTTAGAAATTGGGACTCTGTGGCGCTCTCCAAAATAACCTTTGCCTCACGAACTTGTTTGGTCTGGCAGAAATTTTCCACATCGTCACTGGTGAGGCGATTGTCGCATTCGTCAAGGATGTGCTGTGTTCTTTGGGGACACAGATCGATGTCGACAGTTCTTCGCCAACCTTTCAACTTCGGTATCACGTTGCAAAAAAACTCGTTTCGTGCCACTCGCTCCTCTACCACAAAAGTCAGGAATTTTTGATACATGCCAAGGTACGCATTGATGGTGCCTGTTTTTAGGATGTGCATTTTTAGGTCTACCCAGTCTGTCCAGACTATATAGCCTTCACCTCGGGACAACACCTCTAGGTCTGAACCATGTGGATCTAGGTCTTCCAGGATAGTTTTGATGTGTGCTGCATGCTGCAGTCTATTCCTTGCCTTCCTTTCACCATCGGGCAGGTTGAGGTGGTTGTAAAAGGCTATCAACCACCTGTGCCTATCGGTCGTTGGGTTTGCCGAGGTGAAGAAATTCTCCTGCAGGGTGTACTCCACTCCAGTATCGTCATCCTCATCTTTGTTTTCCTCTGATGGAGTGGAGGTGGATGGTCCCTCATGTTCTTCCATGGTCTTGGTTGATGAGGTGTCTGTGACGTTTGAGGGCATTGCTGACCATTGCGGCGTTTCACTCTCTTCATATATCTGCAGGGACTCTGCCTCAATCTTCCCGCGATACTCCCTAGCCACCCGAACATACGTGTCAAGCAACTTCCCAGATCGCGCTCGGTGTTTGTGTTGGAGATGGCTTCCCAGCAGATGTGTCACACCCTGGCAGCCTTCATAGGGGCACCAATTCAATTTTAGTTCGGGCCTCTGACCGCGGTGTACTGCTGTTCTCCTATGTTTCCTCTTTGCCACACTTGCCATTTTTGAAACATCTTCTTGCGAAATGGCGCCCTTTTCTGCATGTTTTCTAATTTGGTGAAGGAGGTCAAAAATCTCTTTATGGCGCACGGGGCATTCCTCCTTTCGGTGATGGGATCTCTTTTTCTCTTTTCCTAGATTTTCTGCTGTGGCTTTTGCTTTCTTTTAGTTTTCCGTCGCTATCTCTAGGTTGTCATTTTTTTGTCTTGATAGGTGACACAGGGTGTATCATCTTCCTCTTTATTCCTTTATTCACGGGTGACCCCTCCACTTCCTCTTCTTCATTCTCTGATGCTGGGGGTGTGCCAGCGACATAGTTGGGGTCCTTGAGCTGGTCCTCCAAATCAGAACATGCTTCTTCACTGACCTGCATTCTTCGTTGTCTTTTCTTCTCTTCCACAAACTGTAAAAAGAATTCAAGACTGATCTATCTTTCACCTCATCTTGAAGAGTCGTACACACGTGGTGCAGTTCAAACGTCTTACTGCACAGTTCAGGTTCCTCTGGGTAACCTTGAACCTGAAACCNCCTATGTTTCCTCTTTGCCACACTTGCCATTTTTGAAACATCTTCTTGCGAAATGGCGCCCTTTTCTGCATGTTTTCTAATTTGGTGAAGGAGGTCAAAAATCTCTTTATGGCGCACGGGGCATTCCTCCTTTCGGTGATGGGATCTCTTTTTCTCTTTTCCTAGATTTTCTGCTGTGGCTTTTGCTTTCTTTTAGTTTTCCGTCGCTATCTCTAGGTTGTCATTTTTTTGTCTTGATAGGTGACACAGGGTGTATCATCTTCCTCTTTATTCCTTTATTCACGGGTGACCCCTCCACTTCCTCTTCTTCATTCTCTGATGCTGGGGGTGTGCCAGCGACATAGTTGGGGTCCTTGAGCTGGTCCTCCAAATCAGAACATGCTTCTTCACTGACCTGCATTCTTCGTTGTCTTTTCTTCTCTTCCACAAACTGTAAAAAGAATTCAAGACTGATCTATCTTTCACCTCATCTTGAAGAGTCGTACACACGTGGTGCAGTTCAAACGTCTTACTGCACAGTTCAGGTTCCTCTGGGTAACCTTGAACCTGAAACCTTTCCAGATACTCTAAAATGCCTAGGTGGATTTTCTGGATGAGTTCATCTTCCATCTTGATACCAACAACACACAGGTCCTTTGCTGATTTGTAGTAAAGACCTAGCCTCTGAGCTGTGGGGACTTTCTTGAACACATCGAAAGAGAAATTGAGGTTTTCATCAAGTTCTAAGAGGTGCATGCATTCGTGATCCCCTTTGGCCACTTCCTCGATTATTTCACAAAATTCTTCTGTGGCTGCTGCTGCTTTGAGTTCTCCGTTTTTCTGGAACCATTCCTTTCGGTTTTGTGTGATGGTTCTGATGTACTTGATGATGGTGTGATGTTGTTTTCCATCAATCCTGGCCCACTCCATCTGTTATAAAACGGCTGGTGTCCTGACTTTTTTTTATCAGTTGGTTCTCTCACCGTTCTACGGTAAGTTATCATGTCTTTACGCAAAGTGGGTCTCTTGGTTTACTATTAGGGGTTTGCTATCTCCCGGGATGAGTATATTGTTCGGGAAATGGCTTTTTCTGAATGGACGGGACATCATCACGTGTTGTTCAAATACACGTTATCCCTTTGAATGACGTACGACCTATTATCCAAGGACGCCAAGACCCGAGTGGATCGTCAGACCAAGACGGTGCATGCCTTACCTTTTGAACCGTTTTTGTCGGATCACAAACGACAAGAATTTCATCCTTACGATCAGATAAGGGACGATGTCACCCGCTGGTGTCAACAATATCTCACCCCAAAACGATGACGGTTGGGTGTCTTCACCGTCAATGGTCTCTATCGATTGTTGAAAGAGCCACGGTTTTCTTACCCTATGGTCGTCTTGGAAGGGCAGGAATGCAGGGAGTTATCCAGTCTTCCCATTGCCACCGTCAATGTGATGGCCACCAACAATTGGTGCACGGATCATAGCCACGAGGAACGCGGTAGCGGTATCTGGCACCATAGTTGCGCTCGCGTACGGGCCTGTCAAATGAGTGGCTGGTTGCGTTGACATTCCAAGTCAATGTCCAACGGGTGCTTTTCGTCTTTTGGGTCAGATCCTATGCAATCATTGCATTGATGACAAAGACGACACGTTTGCCGAAGGCAAAGGCCTAGATTGGATCCCCGATAATTGCTGTCAATGCCGACCCTTCCGACGTATCTTTGAACAAACCGTCACCTACCGGAAATGGCAGGAACCCCTGGTGTATGCCCATGATGAACCGCCCACTATGTGGGCTTGGAATCCCTTGTCCAAGAACAAACACTAATTCAGACTTTTTTTCCCATTTTACAGGCAATGCCGCTGACTATTTACACGGGTGGTGCCGAAGGCGTGGATACGCATGTGGAACATCAAGTATGGTCATCCGTGTGTGGTGTTCATCCCACCCTGTCACCCTCGAGCCCTTGACCCAGCCCGACTTGGACGCCGCCATACCTATGGTCGCCCGGGCCGCATTTCCATTAGGTCGACATGTCTCCCATCTCATCACCCTTCAGTATTTACAACGTAATTATCACGTGACCAAGCCTGCTTCCTTGGTCTTGGCTTTGGGGTTTTTTGATGAGTCACGCAAGCATGTGTTGCGCAGTACGGGATGGAGTGTGGCCATGGCTCAAATTGTATCGAAACCCCTGTGTGTTTGATTTGGATATGGAACAGTGGTACTGGTGGAATCCCACCTTGCAACAATATCAACCCTGTGAAGGCATGACCGAGGAACAGGTAAGTCTTCACACGTTACAGGAGAAAACAGCGATTGTAGGCACCCGAGAAGAAGACAAGGTGGTCTATCCCACCTTGGACGCTTTATTCCAACGCTCATCAAAATAAAAACAATAGGACACTAATATGACATGTAATACGTCTAATAACCCTCTCAATGTACATCAATGACAATAAAATTCACGGCTTCCAACACACTCATGATTCTGTCCAATCGCGTCATCACCTTGTGCAGGGTACTGTAGGACACCTTCCTCCTTCCGATCATGACAGGGCGCCGTCCAATAGGACAATGGGGTATTCTGTACTAAAAACGCTCAATGGCAAAAGCCACCCCCTCGTTCATGAGGTTGTCCAGGTTTATGGGGTGACGCGCCATTTCCGCCATCATAATTATCAATCTGTGAACAATAAAAACAGACCTCAGAGTATGGTTCAGTCATTCACAAAAAAACATGTCAGCACCGCTCTCACTTACGGATAACCTGTGGCTACATGAGTCGGTGGCAGTGGTGACAGTGGCTTCCTCTGAGTGCATGCAGGCGCAACACTACCTGATTCCACTGTCGATCCTCACCGAGATGTTGGAAGAAAAAGTGTACCCATTGGGCGTACCCCCTATAATGTCTTTTCGTCCACGTCATTTCCACGTGATGCCTCTCCACCAATCAGGTTCTCAGGAGGATTCTCTAAAACACGTTGCACCACGGATGAGATGACTCGTTTGGCCAAACAGCTCCCGTGGGATCAACCCATTGCCCGCACGCTCAATCATGAAGTCCATCGTCGCAAAATGGCTGGCAAGTCGTGTCGCTTTTTTCATTAACATGACTGGGTCCCTTCCTTCCCTCATACCCTTTTTTTTCGGTTTGTAGTGGTGTTTCCTGATCTCGACTTTATTTGGCTTATCCACCTTTGCCCTCGACGATCTCGATTGAATTGGGCAGCGCGTTTTGGGGTCCCAGACTGTTCGTGTTGATTTTTTTGGCACAGATCCCTTAGATTCCCTGCAAGACAAACCTGTCTGTCATATTTATCAGTGGATAGCGCACTCTACCCACGGCTCCGTATGCAATCACTGTGATCGATGATGGATAGGTACACGCTACATGATTTAATTTTTCCACGTGACTGTTCCTTGACAGAAGATGAAGTGGTGGCGTATGTTCGCCGATTTGACCCCATGTATCAGGAATGGGACGATTGGCCCTTACGCGTGACCTTTCGGGTCAATTCCTTTCTCCAGGCCAATGGTGCCAGTCCTGAACCTGATTTGGATATTTTGAATTCTTTTTAGGCACCCATTGCCTGTTGCGTCATCACACGCAATGGATCCGACCCTTGCACATTGGACTCTATCACACCAGCATTCCCACGCTAATTCGGCTCTCCACTTCTTTTTAGAGTTCTCTTTGACGTTAAAGCAAATTGGCAGATGGATCAAACCCATCCAATACAGACTTCATCTTAGTAGTGTTCAATGTGTAATTCGCCTTTGTAATTCTTTGTAGGCACGTATTCGATTCTCTGCACCCACAGGGTTCATGGAGCCTCGATTGAATGGTGTTTTGGATCCGTCTTGCAATGGTACAATGGTTCAGGGGTCTTCATCCCTTCCCCACGCCCATTGCAGTTGCTCTGTCAACAATGTTATTTGTACATTCGCCGTGTCACGCATGTAACGACTTCTTGTTACTGGTGCAACATGAAACAGGATTTGGGGTATAAACGCTCTTAGACTCGCTTTCATTCCTCCCCCCTTCAGATTGTCAATTCGTGGTACGGACCATTTTTCTCCCTTCCCTTTTTCAGGCACTCACTACGTCCTGAGGAACAATGTATTTCGAAGAAGAATCCCGACGGGCCAGTTGTATTTAGTGTGCAAGCTATGTTGGATTCATGTGCGGCATGTTTCCACGCTCTGTGAACCTTGTGGGGGCTCAGACTTTTAAGACAGCATAGGTTTTGAGTTAGACATTTTGTAACACCAAGAAGCCAGAGATACTTCAAACTACCCATTTGTAAGACAAATAGGTTAAAAAACACTTTTATTATGGCAAACAGTTTTAATTATTAGTAGTAATCTTAATTATTAGTATTTTGGTGTTGGTACTTCTCCTTTTGTATTTCATTGTAGGTTATATTTTGCGGTTTTTATAGTAGTTATCATATATTTATAGATAATTTTTAGTTTCATTGTAAAGTAAGTCACATTTCAGCCGGCCCGGGGGTGCAATGATTTTACTTCTTAATAAAGCTATCTATCTATCTAAGCTATCTATCACCACGGATGGTCCAGTCTGCTACATCTTTTCCGACCCAAAATAAACCATTGAATTATAAATTTTTTTCCCATTCACAGTCACTCTTGGATATCAGATAATTTCAACTTCAACCAAGAGTGGTCTTAATTGGATCTTTTTTGTGTCGATATACGAACTTTTTCAAGGGCGCGACGTCACTAGGACGTTGCACATGTCCCGACTGTAATTAAGTCATTCTATATTTTCTTATAGTCACTCATTGGATACTAAACCACTGCCTCATCCGCTGCAACAGTGGGCTTTATGTCATCCAGTTTGCTTCATGGCTTGTTTGAAACGTCCCATTCACTCCATTCCCTTTTTTTCTTTTTAGTCACTTTAATTGATATTTAATACAGCCTCATAAAACCGTGGTCGATGACAGGCTTCAATCACTTCATTGGATGGCCACGTTCCTCGCTCATGACCCACTCAGCCAAAAGGCAAACGCCTTTGCTTCTCTTCATGTATTAAACTCAAGGGCGTGACGTCACCAGGACGTCGCACATGTCCTGACTGTAAATAAGTACCTCTCGAGAATGTATTAAACCAACAAAGCGATTTTTATTTCCAATACAGTGTATTTTTCATTGACTTCGGGTGATGCGAAGGGTCTGGGGATTCACCGGCGAAAAATGTCTGATTGGTCGACGCGCGACCACGTGATATTGTTTATCGAGAGACGCGCGCTGCGGTGGCGGGAAAATTAAATTGGTGTTATCTTTTCGTGTCAGCCTTTTTTGTTTTTGCAACAATTTTTTCCGTAACGTTATTACTGCCACAAGTTCCGTTTCCGGTTTGTTTTCTCAATGGCTCAAGTACGCTTTTTATTTCTTTTGTCGTTTTTTGCCGTGTACATTTTTTTTGGTGCGGAGGGGATGCGAGGAAAGTGCATTCAATGCGGCACAACAAAATCCTCACGCTTTTTCGGGGAAAAACACCATCAGAGATGTAGAGGCTGTTACAAGAAGTCGGTTAGTTAATTTGTTTCCTTGTTTTCACAGGCCATATTCATAAATTATTTCCCCTGTTATATGTGTTTGTCCCTTTTATGGCATGTGTAAAGAAAGCGATAAAAGGTCAAAACTGAGAACAACTTTACGTTGATCAATATAAGACAGACACTTAAATATAATTTACAAACACCTGACAAGAGGTGAAAAAAAATGTGAGTTGTCAATAAGTAAATGTAAGGAAAACTCTCAGATTGTGTTTTGCTTATTTCCAAAAAACAAGAAAAAAAAAACGAACTACCTCCCTGAAGCTAGGATTTTAATTATGGTACAAAACAGTTTCGTACAGGGAAAGGGAATCCTAAAGGGAATCCCACATAAGCCTGCTTAAAATTTTAGCGTAAAAAAAAATCAATATTAATATTGACAGCATGACTGATATCAAAGACATTCTCGGTTTTTGATTACCAGTTATAAGATATAGGTAAAGCCTTTAGGCTTAACTTGCACTACCCTGATACTTGTTAAAGGTAAGAAATACTCGCCAAACTGGGTAAGATCGAAATTCATCTTGGCAATATAATGATCCTAAAAAGTGAAAATTGTCAGATATCAAAATATCAATAAGAAACGACAAAAGAACTGAGAAGAAAATCTCTAGCGGAATCTGTAAAAATAATTGATTTTCACTCACTTTTGACTGAATACTTTTTATTTCTCACCGCTATTTCGATGGTAGCGAAACTGAATGCTTCTTTTAAATACGAAAAGTTCCATATGTGAAGTTAACACCGAAACTTGTAACGAACGGCTACAGAAGCTGAAATGGATTTTGTAAAGTAGATTTGGCAAACTTTTTTCCTTTTTTAATTCAACTACGTGCACCGTAGTTCAGTAAATTTTTATCTTAGAAAGATTTTCCGAGTTTTTTTCGAGACTTTCTTACCATAGGTTCAGCGTTAAAGTTCAGCGTTGGATTATAAATGTAAAAGCTTAAGCGAAAACATTTTCGGGTCCGCTCAATAAAAACAGGCTACCAAGCGGAAAAAGGTACTCTTTTCTCTTTTAGACTAATAAATTTTTCATGGCCAATTATAGGCAACCTTCTGTGACAATGCTTCCTTGCACAAGAATTTCAACTCACTCTTAAGGCTTCGATAGAAGCAGATAGCCGATGAAAAAATATCGCTTATAAAGCTTACTTTATTCGACCGTATTTCACGTCGTTAACTTGATTTGGAGTTTTGGTGATACATCAGTTTCATAGTCATCCAACTGACTTCGGTCGATGTAAAGACATAATCATGATAATTATGTTAATACAAAAATCAGTTCGTGAGAGACGCATTCCATCTTCTAAGGAGTTAGTACACTTGCTTGAAAGGATATTTTCAAAAACGTCGGTCACTAAGGCCTGACCAATTCCAAAAAATAAAACCAGGTCGGTTGAAGTCTCCACATTTTTCATGTCTAGGTTTACGCTTTACTTACAACATTTGCACAAAGATAAAAAATACTGGTCACCGCTTTTACAGTTAGAGAAACAAACAAAAAGAACGTACCAACGGAACTGTTAATCAAACTAGACTTTAGTATGCATTCAAATAACGGTGTTACCCGCTATCAAAACATCTTTGGATGAATCAAACTTTTCGAAACTTCTGTGATAGTTATTAATTTTTAATATTAGAGACAATTAACGTACCTGGATTTAAGAAAATAATAAAAGGTTCCAACAGTAGTGCATGTCCGAGAATATACAGCTGTCGCTTTTTGGTGCGGCCTGAAGAAATTGATGTTCCACATGAATTTCCACAGCAAAATCATGTAAAAAAAGTCAGTCCAACTGGTGAAAAATACTCAGTGTTATTATTATTTACCCCTAGTTCTACGGAAATGCATTTTCAAAGGGTAAAACGCAGATTCGATTTGGGCTTATTTTCTTAGACCATACTCAGCCGCACAGTTACAGTTGCAGCTAGCGAATATTTGACGAGAGCTGCTGAACCTTCTGTCAATCATGTATCTTGACACGTCTCCTGCAACGCCTCTTGACATAGTAAAATTTGGTGAAAAATGTAACAGGGGAGGAGTTAGTAGATTTGCATTTTTTCCCTTTGGTTATTCCATGGTAACCGAACACTGACATTTGTTAAAGTTTGGGCGAATTTAAAATTAAAAAATGAATTTGTTTTGCACTTTTCCTAAATGAAAATCGCCGCTGAATTTATCCATCACTTTAATACAATATTTAATAAATTAGCCTGAATTTCATCCGATTCCTTCGAGTCGTTTTCTCGATCCTCTCAGTTACTGAGGGAGTAATGACGACTCATAGTAATCGGATGAAATTCAGACTAAGTAAGTGAGATCTAATGACGATTATTTAATGGAAATGTTAAAAGTGCTGAAAGCCAACATTTTTCGCACAATTTCAATCAAATAAATTTGTACAGCTTAAACCTGAGGACTGATATGTTGTAAAATCAACGCTATGAAGGTATTCTATAGTTGTTTATTCATTTACGTCTTTTTTCTTAAAAAGTCCAGCAAAGATTTCATTCACTCAAGAAACGAATTTGGAGGCCTTGGCTCAATGTTTTTTAGAATTTCTGGATAACTTCTCGATTGCTTTTATTGCATAAAAAATAAGAGGGGTGATAAAAATTTTGGAAAATTGGAACAAAATTGAAATAATTGGAAATTAACAGACAAATACCAGAGAGTCCACCACCACAACAGGGTACTTCTGAGCCATGCCATTAGCGGACTAACTGGTTTATGTGCCAGTTTCTACTGTGATTTATTTCCTTCCCAAATGAGCATCACCCCCCTCAAACCCCCAAAAAGAAGAATCCCCCCTTTAAGATTAAATCCGACACCGAAAATAAAAATTATTCAACGGTTTTCGTAATATGTATTATTTACAGACCCATGACATTCAGGAAGAAGACCCTGTCCATGAAGAAAAAGCTTTCCAAACTTTAAAATCTGGAATTGAAAATCTGAAGAATGGTTTATTGAAAAGAGAGAAGCAACTCTCGTACGAGCCAAAGGATTTCAAACGTTTCTGCGTAGAATGTAATGCCGAGGAAGCATTCTTAACCGTGTACGACGCAATGACTTCAGACCGACATTCTAAGGGAAGGAAGGAACTAAATGAAAAACGAACGGTTGCTTTATTATCAATGATGGCGTTTGGGTTATCGCAAAAATGCAATACCTTTCAGCATGATCACGGGCAGCTCCTTATACGGTCTGGATTATCGGGTAACGCCCTTAATTCGGAGAGAGTATTGGGAACATCAAATTTGCGAGAGGGAATATCAACTGATAAAGGCAAAGGATTCTGAAGACCACCACAAAATCGTCGACCAGTGGATAGACAAAGCTATAGAAGAAGAACGGCTGATTGTTTTAAATATCGATGATTACACCAACATTCACACAAAGAAAAGGCCCATTCACGATACCTCTACATCAAATAAGATGTGTACTCTGCTTTTGAAACGATACGAAATACCAGCGGTGAAAAAAGACGCGGCCAGACCAGTAAACAACCCGTCAGGTGTGCTTCTGGACGAACTTGTTTCGAACATGTCATCGAACGGACAAATAACAATGCTGTGCACTCACACCTTCACAACAGCTTGCCAAAAAGACGCGCCTTGGATAACAAACAGATTTTTTGATCCAGAATATGAACAAGAACGCCTTTCTACCCACGACTATGGCAACGACCAGTCTGTTAAAAAAATGCGCGACATGAATGGAACTATGCTAATCGACTGCATGGAGTTACCACTACACAAAGAATCGGATTTCAGAAAGGCAATTGAGAAAGTCATGAGTACCAAGATGAAACAGTACAGCAAAATGTTTATCCTTCCACAACCTGGGGATTGGCCAGCCCAGTTTTATCCTCGAAAGATTGTTTACAGTTCAACATGCAATGAATCAATTAAATCTAGCTTGGTGCCCCTTCTGGGACCTCTACACGTGTCATTGAATGGACAAGAAAACGTTTTTAAAGAATATTTTGAACTACTCCTTAATGTGTACCAGAGTGTCTTTGGAAAGAACAAGCCACTGGCTGCAGAGAAGTGTCAACTCTGGAAAATTGCACTGATCCTCGAGTTGTGTTATGGTGGTTGGAGCCTAATCCGTGAAAGTATTTTAAGTGTATTTGGAGATCGATGTAAAGACCTCCAATTTCTGACCCTAATCAATTTTCTTGATAACTATCTTCCTCTAGTTCTAACAATTTATGCTGTTGTCTTTCGTTCCAACAATTTTGAACTGTACATTTCCGCCCTAAAGAGAATCTGGCTTATGTTTCTTTGCTTTCGTCGCCACCACTATGACAAGTCACCACTGGTTTTTCTGTCTAGCGTGCTCTATTGGGAAAAAATCTGACACCCCTTCTTCTTAACTCAAAGAGTTCTATTGTTTCCTTCACCGAATATCCTGTTGAATACTTCCATTCCGTTATTCGTGACCAGACGAACCCGCATAGTTCAGCTGAAGAAATAACCAAAACTGCCGTTCCATCTTCGCCTCTAAGCATCGACAAGAAAAATTCCGAAGAACCTTCTTCCCCCCCAAGAACTATATTCTTTCCCGCAATCAACTCAAAGCAGCAAAACTTAAAGCAGCACAAGTGTTAAAGTCTATTTTCTTCGATATCATCTGCAAGCCACACAGCTCCTTATCCAAACTTTCCGCAACGGGAGAACGACAAGAGTGGACCCTTCCTTTTCTGTTTGGTACCAAACCTAAGACAGATAAGGTATTGCCGTGCGCCTTTCACCTGTCAGTGAAAGAAGAGGACCAGCCAGATCCAAGCAGAGAATGTGACCTCCACAGCTATCAAGTACAAGGAGACAAACGGCGTGTATTCAAAGGATGCGGACATTCTTTTCACTTTCCATGTGTGCCAGATTCAGTCTGCCCAATATGTCGGGAAGGCATCCGTCGTAAAGTTATGGAACACGCTCGGAAAGCGAAGGATGCGATTTTCTCGAAGTCCACATCCAGCAAGCATGAAGCCAAGACAGACAAAAAGGAAAACCAAGCAGAAGATAACGAAGTGCCTTTGTGTTCCATGACAGACACGGAGATCGAAAAACAAGCAAACCTGTTAAACTCTGAAATTGCGTCGTGGCCAAAGTATGATCCTGGAAAAGTTTGCCAACGTCCACAAGTCCACTCAGCCGGAGGACATCCATCTAATAGTAAGCAGAGATCGGAACCACTGAAAAGAAAATGGAAATGCAGATTTAGTGATCAGGCGGAGGAAGCTGTCGCAGAATTCCTTAAGAAGTGCCATGGTGACAAGCCAACAGATCTTCAAATTCGACATCTCTTGGAAACTGACGCAAGATTAACAGGAGAAACTTTGGAAAGATTAAAACGAAAGATATTAAGTTTGATGAAAAAGGACAAGAAAAAACCATCCGAGTCACCACTACGAACAACAATACCTGTTCCACCGTGGGGAGGACACTTCTTTCATCAAGACCAACGAATCGAAATTGTCAACTCCTGTCCCATCGACAACCTCCTGACTTGTTTTCATTTGTTATTCTCCTCTGATTCTAACTTTCACGCCGCTTTTGAAAGCCTAACCCACCAGAGAGCAAAGACTCTTCTAAGTGTGCACCAGATGTTCAAAAATCTACATTGGTCCGTTGGAAAGGTTATGTGGTTAACTCAGGTAAATCTGGGTGTGGACCTCACGAGACATGTAGTAAACGTTTGGGGCGGTGAAGACGAGAGATTTTTTGGAGCATTACGCGAAGTTACCATGAACACACTTCAGTCAAACTGCAGTAACCCGACATGTCCCGCGAAGAACTTGCGATTTACATCCAAAGGCCCCATCTCCTTAAAGTAAGTGCAAGCGTACCAATTATTTTGTCCCAATAACAGGCCATTTCCGAGTTCCCCCGGGCCTCTGTTTCAAAACGAGGGTAGGCGCCAAGCCTTTAATATGGAAATGATTTTTTATTCTCATCCAAATAAAACTCATTTTCACAAGAAAGGTTGTGCACCTAGCCTCATTTTGAAAGTGAGGGTTTTGGAACTCGGAAGTGGCCCATTATAGTATGAGTTTTGTGCTCTAGAGAATACACCATATCAAATATCCCCTGAAATTATCGAGGGAAGAGGGTCCAAAAGTAGGCAATTTCCGAGGGGGTGGCTTACACAGGTTTTTTCCAGGGGGGTCTGAGTATTCTTTTAGAGGGTACCCAACCAAATTGAATAATTACTGAAATTCCAGAGGGTGAGGTTGGGGAATGACAAGCCCCTCCCCCCCCTCATGGAATGGAAATTCCAAACTACACAATAGGTTCCCTCCAATTACACAAAGTACCATGTATCAACAGCAGTATACATGCTAAATCATTGGGAGAGCAACAGCACACTTCTTATACTTTTATGTGCTTGTCAATAACTGGAAGGAGTGAGTTTTCTAGGAACATTCAAAACCGTCAATGTGTACCTGTTGTAAACTACAGGTTGCCAATAACTTCAACATCATCGCCAACAAAAACAACATCTTTCATCAGGAGCCCATCAAATGATGGGCTCCCGCTTTCATATACTAATAACAATAACAACTATACAGTTTCAAAGTCTTTAAAGTGTTAACAAAAAGCTAAAAATAAACCTAATCTTGTAATAAACAAGAGGATTTCTTTTAAGTTACAGTTCTATATTTCCACACAACGACAAACATGAATGTTGAACAAATATTGGATAAAAAAATGGAAGGTGTGTCTAATTAAATTTTATGGGGTTAAAAAGAATTTAGAGGGCATACCAAGAGATACCTGTTAATCAAGTTTATTTTCATTTCAGTTCCCTGGTTGTTCCACCCAAACAACATGAAACTCCCCTGGAAGCTATGCTGAATCAGTGGTTGAGGCCAGCAAGCACAATTTGCATGAGAGAATGGAAGGATGCTATTCCACTGGGCACTACCCAAATTCAACACATAAGAACCTGTGACGAACAGGCTGACGGCAGCAAAATCGACAAGTTAGTAACTTTTTCCTTCTTCCTTCAAACTACAACTAAATGAATCAATGTATGGGTTAACTCAAGAACTTTAATAGTTGTATTTATCTACAGAGCTTTTTCTTAGATCTCTTGGATACATTTAGTATAATGTACAAATCATTCTGTTAGTTTCTTTGTACAATCAAGTGTCAATTATTGTAAATAATTTTTATAATTATATTAACACCAATTATTGCTTCTTGCAATATTTTAACTGTCACTATCAGGATCCACCACCACTGCACTGGGACACGTGTGTTTGGGCAAAGAACATTTTGACATGGCACATCACTATTTCTGCCATTAAATGTGGACTACCATTGCAGACAAGGAGTCATAAAGGAACCAAAAGATCTACCGAGAGAGCTAGAATTTCCACCATCTTCTGGCAATAAGTAAGTAACATTGTTCAACATGCATAAACGTTAAGTATCACTTTTTGCCATGTCTAAGAGAGGTAGCAATTGAAAGCTCATTATTTTTAACCTTACTATGAAATACAAAAAAAACCCCTTTATGCTTAGAACTATGTTTATTTTCCCAATGGAGATCTCAAAGGGAATTGTTCATCTTAGAGCCCTGGGTTGCCTTCCTTTTTTTTAGACAACAGCATTGTCAAAATTTATACCCTAAGTTGTTTTTTGTGGCTTTATCAAAGCATTTGCCAGGCTCAAAATAATAGCCAGTCCACAGTCATACATTGTACTCCAGCCAGAATGGCGACTGGACTGATCAAAAACTTCACTGAATACACATCGAAACAGACATTTGAGTTGAATCAGCCAATGATAGGTTTGGTGAGTTCACCACTGTTTATTCAAAGTTGTTGAACAGTCAGAAAAAGACCCTGGCCAAGCAGAACTTTATTTGACCGAGTCATTGCCTGGCCAGCATCAGAAAAATATTTTGAGTCCGGAGTTGACCAGCATCTAGGACTTGATACTGAGCAACATTTTACTACTCATCTCTTACAGCACATGTCATTGTTGGTTGTTATGAGACTTTTCCAGAAAAAAAGTGCCCCTGAAAGAAAAACAAAAGAAAATTAATAATATAATTATTATTATCAAAAGTCTTCCCAGACACTGGTCCAGAAATCAAACACTATAATAATAACATTCTTAATAACAGACATCTTTATTTACAGTTTATGTCTACTATGATTTCTTTCTCTCTCAAGGTATCATCTTTACACCATCACCTTTTGGGAAGGCAGCCATTATACATGCACCATATACTTGTCCAGCCCACTTGTTCAACAGCCTGGGTGGTATTTTTACGATGGTATGGCAGTAAAAAACAAAGGGTGTGGCCTTATTAGATGGAGCAATCCACCTGCAACACCACAGGGCTCCATGCTATCACATGCCATCTACATTTTACAGTTATAATGCAAGAATATTACTGTCTTTGTGTCAATCTGTAGTCTTGCGACAATGGGACATTGAGATACACTACCATTTCTGCATATGGATACCTTAGGTAACCATGTTCATCATGAATCTAAGCACAATGCAAACATGAATTTTTTTAACACAATAATACATGAAGCATCAACATTCTATCCGATAGCCTAGCTACATTATTGTATTTCTCATGGTTAAAAAGCAGTCCACCCAAATCGACTAAGATTTTCTCAATGCTTCTGTAAGTTGATACTTGTCAATGTCCTTGAAAGTGTGAGCATGACACAGGAGTTAAATGACTTAGGTAAAGGAGCTTTTTACAGTGCCATCCATACACCGCATTCGATGGTGTAGCATGTAATACATGTGAATGTGTTGCGAGTTGCGTAGTATTTTAAATACCAGCCCCAAGCAATGAGCAAAACGCCTTCTTGTATTATATGCTGTTTATCAACGAATAAGAGGTTTATTATTCCACTACAAAAATACGTTATTTTGCAATTGGCTTCTATTTCTTCGGTAAGAGTATTCAGAAACATCCTGATTCCGTCTGTGTGAATCGACGATAACAATGAGCACAATGTTTGCTCGTAATATATGGCAAAGCATTGAATGCGAGGTCTACTGCCAAAAAGAATATTATTATGGTTTCTATTTCTATTTTCTATTCTATTTTCATTTGCCAGTTTGTCCAGTTTAGCCATAGTTGCTCCTTTTGCATCCACCGGTATTGGCCCTGTTGTAAACCAGTTAAACCAGGACACTACACTGTATCACGGCGCCATATTTTGCACATTCTCTTGACCTTATGGTAAAATGACATAGTAGTGGAATAATAAATTTCAATATTGCATCTTTTTTTGGTGCTTTTTTCAAGTTGTGAGGTTACTTTTGGTCTTCTGGCCAAACACCTTTTGGATGTTTGAGAGTTTCTTTGCCACACAAGTCAGAGTTTTGAAAAAAGAAAATACCAACTTATTACAGCCTCTGCACACAACAATAATTATTGAAGTTCCCCTGAGTTTTCAGGCATGTGATTGTCCTATATTAATTTGGAACAGAATTATAAGCCTGCTGCTGTTTAAAACAGCTGAGAATGCAGCCCAACAATTCCAAACTTTTGCAGTTGAAAGATGTTACATTTTCAACACCATAATAGTTATTATCATAATGTTTCCTTTCCACTGAATTACCTTTTAAGTAATTGAGTTGTAGGTGATCAAAATGCCTCCTCTTTATTGTGACTCATATAACAACTGCTTAATATTGCTTGTCATTATACCATTTTACATTATTCTATAAGTCAGAGCCTATATTTTTTGTAAGAAATACACTTTGAAAATTTGCTGAAGTTAAAAGAAAATTGGTAAAGATTTTACAATTTGTTATAACAGCAAAAACCACTCTAAACTATTGATATGTCATTAATAATGTACATGTATTGCCCTATATAATTTTTTGTCCTAATGTTAAAAACAAACTTCACACTCACTCTTATCACAGTTTGAAGAGAATTAAAATGTACCAGTACTGTGTGGTACATTTAGTTTAATCGCTATACAGCTGTAGTTACATGTTCTACAATTGTTGTATTCTATTCAATAATAATAGAAAAATTACAAAATGTATTATTATAATGATAATGTATTTACAGCAAGGTTTTAGCCAGAGGGGAGTCCAAGCATAAAAGTTGAGGTTTTCAATTTTTCTTTTTCATATATTTTTTTCTTTGCACTGGAGGCCAGTAACGTGCAATGCACTTTGGAGAAGCAGAGAATGGATGCCTAACAATGTTTTAGTTGTGTATATAAATGAGCCGTGTTATGACAAAATAATTTATCTACTAGTTAAGAATCTCAGTGAAAAGATACTGAATTACTGTAAATTAATTCCTAAGGCTATAAATGTCCTTGAGAAAGTATTTTTTGGTTCAGTTAGTTTAAGACCATGGTAATGACACGGTACTAGAAATAATTATTACCTGTTAAATCCTAGGGTGTGGGTCACACGAGCAGTAACAGGAAAACATATTTATAAAATGGTTTAAAACCTTTTTTACATTACATTATCAAACAAACTGTACGACAGTAATTTTAACTATGAGCGTTTTGATCATTCTTACTGTACTGATGTATTAACTAAATATGTAAACTACAAAAATCAGTCAGTATTAAACTATATTTAAACAAAACAGTTTGGAAAGTATTCTTAGAGTTGCTGTTTCTGGGGAATAGTGCAGGGCTGTCAACAAAGGCCGGTAGCCAGCCAAAACCGCTGGCTAGTTAGCCATCCTTCACTGGCTACTTTCACCTCCTTCTACCACAGGATCTAACAAAAAAATAAGTACCATCAAATAAAATTGCAAAGCATCTTTTTCCCAGGTTTGAATCACATTGAATGCATATTTAAACAGTAATTACATCTGTGAAACATTAGAACGGTGCAATGTCGTGGAAGGTCTGGGACATTACTGAGACTCTAACAAAATCCTTTGGTGCGAGTTCCAAAGCCGCCTACTATTATTTTATTATGAGCCTGCTACTTAAAAACTAAACCTACAAATCGCCTTTTGCTGACTTTTTCACCTGATTTTGCATTAAATAGCCAGATTTGGTTGTTTTATGCTGAAAAGTGGATTTTTCTCAAAAAGCTTAGTACTTTGCTTACAGCTACAGTGTACATTAGTAGTATAGGAGGCTATAGCAGGGCACAACCAATCAGAGCGCAGCAAAATTTTAGGCAACCAATCAGCATCGAGCATTGAGCCCATGTGACCATGATGACGTATCCTATGCCCATATTTGGGCATCCCGTTCACGTGACCCCATGGGAAAAGAACACACACACAAAATGTTGGATCCACATTCTTCGCATAGTTTTATTGAACGTACCGCGTAAAGCCTGGGTACAAGCGGGACGTGTGTGACGCCCTAGTGACGTCACGCCCATGTTTTACATTAATACACATAATGAAGATAAGGTGTTTGCTTCCTGGCGGCAGTCGTCATGAGCAAGGGATGAGGCCATCGAATATAATGGTTCTGACTTAACCATGACCATGGTTTGATCAATTGGAAATTAAACGTAGAAAAAATGTCTGAAACGAATGGGAAAAGGCTGGTTAGAGCCAAGAAGCAAACTGAATCAGAAACAGTCGACCATTGCCACGCACGAGGCGGTGTTGTATTGTCCAATGGTTGACTGGAAAAACAAAAAATGACTTCATTACAAAATGGGACGTGTGTGACGCCCTCATGGTGTCACGCCCTGGAACGATTGTATACAAAACAATTCTATTAAAATCCAGTCTTGCGTGAATTCAAAATGCTCTAAGATCCAATGCGTTTCTGGGAAAAAGGTTTGAACAAATGGAGTAAGCTGGACCATCCTTGATGATTCACGATACAAAGTTTATGAGGGATGGGCCAGCTTTGAAAAATCATCACACGATCAATAATCCAATGAGAATCTGATTAAAAAAAAAAATCAATGAACATCCAGCAGGGGTGGCGCCACCATGCAGACCTCCCCCTGCCGGGTGTTCAGAATTCCCAATCCATGCTGTCCATCATCGCACAACCCCGACAGGGTTCATGGAGGGTAGTCACGTGCCTTAAATAAATCCAACATCTATTGCACACAAAAAATAATCTCCCCGTCAGATTTCGATGGTTCCTCGAGTGTTGGTGAATCACCTGGGCAGTGGCTGAAAAAGGGAAGGGAGATAAATGGCTAGTATAACAAAACGAGAATCTGAAAAAATAAAAATAAAAAAAGATTTTTTAAGGACGGGGTGGGTACCCCATGCCTTGCAACAACTCGCACCAATGACAGGGCGCGTGTAAGTCACTGGCACGACGAAAGGTCAAATAACAACGACAACAGAGTAATTTGATGGGTCTCGGAAACGGAAGATGGACCCCCGATCCAGTGTACCACTGCACGATACTACCGAGGAAACACCATGCAGCGGAAGTACCATGAACCCTGTGGGTGCTGAGAATGGTATGCGAATCTACGAAAAATTAATAATAATGGTGTAAAGCCATAAGTAAATAAACAAGGTGATCTCGGATCCATGGGTTGTCTTTGAGGAGGGCAAGCGAACCTAAAAAGTACCATTACAGAACCGAATAAGTTGTTGAACACTATGAATCTTCCATCTACGTTGCAAAGGGATGATCCACCCATAGCGTTCAATCACAGCATTTACATCTGAAACGTTTTATGAAGTTGGATGACACATTTAACCGTACTATAATGACATCGCAATTGAATGGGTCTAAGCCAACTTCCATAATGATGTAACGTATAATGAAAACCTACAAAGAGGTGGAAAGTCGAATCAAAATGGGAATACTAGTACGAAAGAACCCGGATTGCAAAGGGCGGATCCATTGCGTGTGATGACGTAATAAACAATGCGTGGCTGTAAAAAATTAAAAACTAAAATTAATCCTCATCTAAAAAACCTAAGGCAGCCAAATCCGGTTCACCCACAGGACCCTGGGCCCGGAGAAACGAATTAATACGAAAGGTCATCCGCAGCGGAAAATCGTCCCAGTCCCGATGGTTAGGGTCCCCATCCTGCACATACTGGACAATCTCATCTTCGGTGACGGACCCCTCCCAGTTGCCGGCAATGACGTCATCTAAAGTTAAACCATCCATCATCCTCTCGCAATGGTTACACACTCCGCCATGAGTGGGATGGGCGACCCACTGATAAATATGACACACTGGCTGATTCTCCACAAACTCCCAAGAATCTAACGAAAAAATAAAAATCAACACGAACAGGCTGGGACCCAGAACCGCGCGGCCCAATTGAGTCGAGCACGTCGAGGGCAAAGACACGAGTGGACAGGCCACAGCACGTCTCGTAGAAACGCAAACCCCTTGAACACAACTAGGAATCAAAAAAAAAAAGGGATAAGGCCAAGGGACCCACACCCGAAAAAAAGGAAAAGCCATAACACTCACCAGCCATGCGACGGCGATGAACCTCGTGATCGAGTTTCCGGGCGATAGGGTGGTCCCAGGGTAGCGTTTTGGCCCAATCCCTCAATTCCTCATGCGTGCAGCGTCTAAAGAAGGCGCGCAGACAGTCGCTTCTCATCGGCGTGTGCCACAAAGTCTTCAAAGCCTCGAACAACATCACAATAGGCATAGAGTACAGTACCATTGACTGGAGCGAACTCACCATCTTGACCAGATTAACGGATCAAACTGGAATGAACTCACACGGGGCGCGCAACGTGCTTTAGAGACTCTTTCAGAGAACGTGATTGGTGGAGAGCCATCACGTGGGATGCTTGGAACGAGAGGAGACTCTAGGGGGTACCCCCCATGGGTACACCTTTTCATCCCTGGACCAGAGGGGTCTAGCGCGAGTATGTGATTGGTGGATACTAGAGGATGAATAAGGGGAACACCACGTCGAGAGGTCAGTCGCCTTGTTTTGCTCTATCAAAATGGACTGCCGAGGGTTGGTCGACCCCCAGAACAAGCCGTTTGGCCGCGTGCTCCCCTTGGAGGTGCAGATTAAGATTATGTTTTGGGTGCACTGTTTTTACACCATGGACCGACGAAAGAAGGTGGTGCAAGAGTTGAAAGGACTACCCAAGTGCGACCTGACGGGGTTCCCCCAACATCTGGGCGAAGACCGTTGGTGGAACCAAGTGGTGGTGCGGTTGCACGCCCCAAGAAAAAATGGTTGTCACCACTGCCACCGCCTCATGGATCACCGACTCTCGGTGAGTAAAAAAAAAAAAATGTGTGTTGAATCTTCTTCTTCTCATGACCTTGACATTGAGAATTTTTTTCTGGTTTCAGATTGGCATGATGGTGGAGATGGCGCGGCAACCCCCCAATCTCGACCGCCTGATGAATGAAGGGATTGCGTTTGTGATTGACACGTTCAAACATCGGATCCCCCAGTGTCCCATTGGACAACGTCCCGTCATGATTGGTCGGAGAAAGGCTGCCTACGATACGGTGGATAAAGTCATGAAGAGACTAGACTTGATTATGAATGTGATGTCCGCCATGAATTTTATTGTCATTGACATACATTAAGAGTGTGATTAAAAACAGATGGTTTACTCTATAACAGTGTCTTTTTTTTGTGTTCATGGTCGTTTAAATAATGCCTCCAGGGTGGGATAAATGGCCTGGTCTTCTTCCCGCGTGCCTATAATGGCGGTCTTGTCTTGGAGGGTGGGGAGAGCAATGAATTCCTCAGTCATGCCTTCACATTGTTGATAGTCTTGGGACGTGGGATTCCACCGAAGCCATTCTTCCTTATCCACATCAAACACATAGAGGGGTTTGCCTAAAAGCTGGGCCGTGACCACCCCCCAGCCTGTCCCACCCAATAGATGCTTGTGCATCTCGTCGAAATGGCCCACGGCCAAGACTAAAGACGCTGGCTGGATCACGTGAACATTCCGCTGGATATACTGGAGGCTGATAGGATGATGGAGTCGTCGTCCCAATCGAAACGTGGCTTGGGTGACGGTGGGGGTGGCAGCGTCCAACTCCGTTTGCGTTAAGGGTGCGAGGGACCTGGCTCGAGGGTGACAGGGTGGAATGAGGACCACACACGCATGCCCATACACCTGACATAAATGTTCCACATGCGTGTCCACGCCTTTAACGCCTCCCGTGTAAATAGTCAGCGGCATGGTCTGTCAAAAGAGGAAACACATTGTTTAGGGTAAGAGACAGGTGTCCAAGCCCACATGGTGTGGGGTTCATCATCCGTATACAGTAAGGGGTCGTCCCATTCCGGGTGGGTGACGGTTTGTTCGAAAATGCGTCGCACTAGACGACAGTCATTGCAATTGTGAGGGATCCAATCGAAGCCTTGACCTCGGGCAAAGGCGTCATCTTTGTCCTCGCAGCAAGACTCGCATAAGCATTTATCCAATAACCGATCACACCGTTTTTGCCACAGCACGCGTTGGGCATTGACTTGATCGAGGGTAGGCAGGACATGGGTTTGGCGACGTAACCACCCACTCATTTGACAAGCCCGGACGTGGGCGCAACGATCGTGCCAGATCCCACTTCCGCGGGCTCCGTCCGTATGATCCATACACCAATTGCGGCCATGGTCGTTGGTGGCCATGACATTGACCGTGGCGATGGGAAGAGGGGCCAAGTCCCGACACCCCTGCCCTTCCAAGACCACGAGAGGGTACGACCTCGCTTGACACAGTCGATACAACCCATTGAGGGTAAACACCCCGAGCCGAGTCCGTGGAGGGGTCAGGTACTGTTGACACCAACGAGTGAGATCGTCCTGGAGCTGAGAGTAGGGATGGAATTCCTGGCGGTTGTACGCCGTGTCTGGTTCAAAAGGCAACCCATGCACCGTCTTAGTCTGACGATCGACCCGGGTCTGGGCCTCCTCGGATAAGGAATCGTACGACACGCCTGGCGGTAACTGGTATTTGAAGAGAGCATGATGATGCCCCGTCCAATCACAAAAAGCCAGTTCTCGAATAATATACTCGTCTCGGGAGAGGGCAAACCCCTGACTGTATACCAAGAGACCCACTTCATGGAGCGCCATGATTACTTACAATAGGAAGTTCCTTGAAAATGAATGAACCGTCACATTCCATGAACATCAAAAGGACAGAATGACACCACAACGAGCCACCTCGGGTTTTATAGCGGAAAGCGAGGGTTCTGATTGGTGGACCGTCGGATCACACCACCCTCACGAGAGCCAGGGCTGCGTCAGGATTGGTGGACCCAACGATCCTAAGAGGATCATGAGACGTCAGAGGAGGGGCTATAAAAGGCAGACCGGACGGGCACCTCGCGTCATTCCGCCCCAAGCATGGAACGTCAAGCCACTCAACCTGCCGCCGTGCCCTCAGGACGCAAACGACGCCGAGTGAGTCCTAGTAAGAAACCCAAGGGGGAAAAGGAAGCCACCCGTGAACTCGAGATGGCTTTGAACGGTTTGCCCCGAGCTGACGCGGAGGAAGCCCCAGTCACCCAAACCATTACCACCTCCAATGTAGTCGTGATGAACCTAGCCCGAACAGACCCACTGACACCCCCGACACCCTCCCCTGTCTGTTCCGTGGATGAATTGATGGAGGGCACCCTGAAAGATTATGAGGAAGAATGCGTGGAGGAAGGGACGTTTCATTCAGATCCCACGAAGGAAGTCGGAGAATGGGAAGAACATGACCTGGACCAAATGGACACCCAGTTGAACAAGCTCCTGTATGAAACGTGCCCCTTTCATCCTGGTGAATACATCTATTGCGTCAACCCCCAGACCCAATTTGGCCAGTTAAGGTTCAAGTGCCCCCAAGAAGGGTGTCCCGTGTATTTGTTTGAAGATAGCCGGGAAGTGATGATGGAGAAATTGAAAGAAGACACGCACCCTCAAGTCCGTGCCCGCTTGCAACGAGGGGAGCTGAAGTGTAAATGTGGGTTGGTCCCCAGGATGAAATTGAGCCGTACTAGCAAGAATTTCCAGAAAGTGTTTTTCAGTTGTGGGAGCGTTCTCTCAGGCCAAGACCCCTGTGGCTACTTTCAATGGCTGCATGGTCCGCTGTGGTGCCCCCGAGATCCAACGCAACCTACCCTGAGACGTTGGGTGAGAGACACACCCCGTGAGATCCAATACAAAGAGTATCAACCTATCCCCCTTTGGAAAAGACACAGTCCAGAGAGGGAGTTTATCGAGAAGAATAGGCCCTGGTTGAATCAGTTTGGGGAAGCCATCAAAGCCAAGGAGAGGGAGCGGGAGAGGACGCGCCATTTGCATAAGAACTTTGGTAGCTCGGTGTTGTTTTGAAAAAAAAAAACATGTAGGTGTGAAAAACTATTAAAGACCGAGATTGGCTAAGAGTGTGTGTCAGTGTCTTGATGTCGTTGCCACGCGCTTACGAAGATCCTCATGAGCCGGGGGCCTTGGGTGGGGTCCAACCCTTTGCCCAAGCCCATAAATTGAAACCCCCGCAAGCGCAACGGATTCTCCAATCGGTGTTGAGTTATACCCTCCACAAACCCCAACGGACCCGGTTTCCGACCGCGCCCACGTTGGTCTTTGACCGAGACGAACAATGGCAGATGGATTAAGTCGACATGCAAAAACTCAGTCGATGGAATCGGGGGAACAAATATTTGTTGACCGTGATCGACGTCCTGTCCAAGTATGCCTGGGCCGTGCCCATCAAATCCAAAAGCAGCACGGAGATGATCCGAGGGTTGAACCAGATTCGCCGACAAGCCTCGCCGCGACGACCCCTCCGCGTGCAGTCGGATCAAGGCCAAGAATTTTTGAATAAAAAAGTGCAAGCCTGGTTCAAGCAACAGGGGTGGCATCATTTTTACACGTATGGGGATAGCAAAGCCTCCGTGGTGGAACGATGGCATCGCACGTTGAAACAACGCATGTACCGGTATTTCACCGCTCACAATACGTTACGGTACGTGGACGTGTTACAACCCTTGATTCATACCTACAATCACACCCGTCATCGCAGNAATAAAAAAGTGCAAGCCTGGTTCAAGCAACAGGGGTGGCATCATTTTTACACGTATGGGGATAGCAAAGCCTCCGTGGTGGAACGATGGCATCGCACGTTGAAACAACGCATGTACCGGTATTTCACCGCTCACAATACGTTACGGTACGTGGACGTGTTACAACCCTTGATTCATACCTACAATCACACCCGTCATCGCAGTATTGGGCTGGCCCCGCATCAAGTCACCCCCCAAACGGTCCCGGAGGTGTGGGACAGACTCTACGGGTCGCGTTTGGAGCAATCCGCACCTCCACCCAAATGTCGCGTGGGGGACCGGGTACGTCTCAACCAGAAACATCGTCCCTTCAAAAAAGGGTATTTGCCCGGGTGGACGGAAGAAGTGTTTGTGGTCACGCACGTCCGTCGTCATCCGATCGTCACCTATCGACTCAGTGAATGGGACGGTACGCCTATAAAAGGCACGTTTTACGAACCCGATGTTCAAAAAGTGCAAGTGTCGGACGACTCATTATTTCGGGTCGAAAAAGTCTTGAAACGGAAAGGACGCCAGGTGTTGGTCCGGTGGAAAGGGTGGCCGGCCAAGTACGATAGTTGGATTCCTGCGCAGCATGGTCCGCGTCAAAATCACCCCTCGAAAAAGAAAAAAGCGGGTCCGGTTTCTCGATGAGGTGCAGGCCGAGGCCAGTCGACCGCGAGCGAGTTACACCCCTTCCCCCACCACCGATGCGGATGTGCTGAAATTCATCCAGAAGAAAGCGGCGGAACAACCACGAGCCAATGTCAACAGGATGGCGGGGGTCGCGTTTGGTCAACAAGCCCTCCGTGCTTACACGGCGGCCCAAAAGAAACAACGCCGACGCGCGGGTCGTCATCCACCCATGCGCCCAAAGAAACCCCCCAAAGCCAAGACCTGCATGACCCTGATGGAACTCGCCCGGGCCTTTCCCAACATTGCCCAGCAAGTGTGTTTTCATCCGAAACAATCGACCTTCAATTCGGTGGTGGGACGTGTCCCTCGCAGCAAACAGAAAGTGGCCCAATGGCTATAAAAGGACCCTGACCCCGTTGGGAGGAGACCACTCTTTATCATCATGGGCGAGATAAAACGCCTGACGCTCGTCAGCGATCGGACCAACGAGTTTCCCAACAATGCCAACAACAGTTTCAAGGTCCGACTGCCCGAACGCCTGTCGTTACCGGGCGCGGGGTGGCATGCCGCGTTGATGTCCCTGACGGTGCCGGATCAAGGACAGAGCAATGCCGTCATCGCCGCGGATCCTCATACCAAAGTGCTCAAATTCAAAATGACCTATGTGGTCCGCAAGTTTGTGCTAGACTCCTATCGACGGGTGGAAACCAAAACCGTGGACTGCGAAGTGGAATTGGAAGAGATCATGAATGCCAATCAAATCGTGTCCACCGGGACGATGTTTTGGCAACGCGTGATGCAAGAAGTGAACAACAAAATCATGCACAATGTGATGAAAGAACAAATACAGCGTTTGGTCCTCGACCCCGACGAAAAACCGATTGTCAGTGCCAAAAAAAACGCGATGCCCCAACTGTCCTGGAAAAGAGGTGCCTTAGTGATTCAGGCTTTGTCCGCCAAGGATTTATTGAAAGCGAACAAGAGCGCCATCACAGATCTGTTCATCAACCTGGTCATTGCGCTCAAATTTGGGTTGGTGTTGGAAAAGACCGGTCAAAACAACACGACCGTGTATGAATTAGGGCCCAATCTGCAATACACGCTGCCGACAACCTCCTACGGTTCGAGAACCCAACCCACTGGATCCCAAAATCGCACGCCCTACGACTGGGAAGGCGAGCAGTACATGGGCGTCAATCCCATCTTAGTGTTCGGTAACACAGCTTCTGTTACCAATAATGATCCCTTCCATGTGGTGACCCATTCTGGTGTGAAGTTTGTGCAATTGTCCTTGATGGTGGAATGGCGGTTGAACAACTTGGATGCCTCCTTTGAAAAGATTGTGGGGACCCGTAAACGCACCGTCATGGTCTATTCGGATCTGGTGGAATCCACCGTGGTGGGCAGTGGCAAGTTTCCCCTACTAAGGGAAGTGCAATTGTTGAGAACGGGTGATGGGGAAAGCACGGCGGAACCCCTGCACCATCAATGGATCAAAGTGCGAGGACAACAGATGGATATCTTAGAAGTGGAGATTGCCAGTACCCATGGCCCCCTGACCATTTTACCCCCAGGCAAAACCCTGGTGACCATCGGTCTCAAACAGCTATAAAAAGCCAATCCCATCACGTGAGGGTCCAAAAAAGCACCATGCGCGGAGGGAGTTTAACGCGGTACCACACGCCCGTGGTCACCAAGCAAGACGGCCAAGGGTTAGCCGAAGATTTGATCAAAATAGCAGGATCCCTGATCGTACAGCAAGCTCAAGCAGGATTGCGAGATATTCAAGGAGGCAAGAGTGCCGCGGACACGTGGGCGCATCGAAGTGGGCAACTGAGCCGTGGGTTGAAACGGAAAGCCCCCGCCATGGTGTGGGCGGGTTGCAAACACAAAGCCAAAAAAACCTATAAAAGAGCTACCCAACGTGTACGGGACATCTTTGGACTGTGAAATGTACCATGCGCACCCACCAAAAGAGTTTTGCGTTTTAGCGTAAGCTGCCGTTGCGCGGGCACCTGCCAAGTAGAGCGGCATGGTTCAGCCCCCGTGCTAGTTTGGCAAGTCGATGATGGCGCGCTATCCCTTGATGTACACCTCCTCTCGCCTGGTGGATCCCATGATCCTCAAACAATTGAAACGACGCCGCCAGATGAAAGGAGGCACGATTTTTGGCAAGTCCACCCGAAGATACACGAATCCCTTGAGGTTCCCGTCGGCTCATCCAGAACAGGAGGCCTTTGATTACATGATGAAAGGGGGGGATCTCAGGCAGGTGTTGTGGGCCAACCAAGCCAAAGCCCGGAGGCAACGGAAGCGAAAAAGTATAAAAAGGGGACGACGTTAAACCCCAGGGACAAACCGCAGCATGTCGCTCCAACTGTTTGACGTGCCCGATGTGGATTATCGGTACGAAGCCTCGCGGGAGGTGGAGTTTCAACCCGCTTTGACAGGCATCCAGCCCATCACCTTCTCCATTCCGGGCTCCGACGATTATTACGACACCAATTCCCTCCGCTTCAAAGTCAAGGTCCGACTGACCGCTCCAGCGACTGGGTATCTAGGCTTGAATGCTGATTTGACCGCTGCGTCAGATGCCAACAATTCCAAGAGCACGTACTGTGTCAACAATTTTGGGCACTCCATCTTTCGAGATATCACCCTGAGCATGAATGGCGTCCTCATGACAGAACAGAGCAACAGTTACCATTACAGAGCCTACCTAGAAACCCTCTTGAATTACAACCGAGAAGAAGGAGCCACCAAGTTAGCTCCGCAAGGATGGGTCAATGCCCTCAATGTGGTGAATGTCATGGGTGCCACAGGAGCCAATTCGGATATCTCTACTGGTGCGGATTGGAAAGGCAATGCAGAACTGCGTGCCTTGACCAGCCGGTTGCTGAGCAGAAATTGGCACACCTTCCTCATCCGCCCAAATTTGCCACCCCTCCGAACAGGCAAATTGTTGGTCCCCAATGTCTAGATGGACTTTGAACTCTTCCTCAACCCCAACACCGTCTACCTGATGAGTACCCCCAACAAAGGCACTTTGACCGACAAGAAATTTCCTGCCATTCACCCAGAAGACATCAAAGTCACTTTGCTGATGAGAAAAGTGACCCTGAATGCCAGCGTCTATGTCAGACTGCAGAAAGAAAGACAGCTGGGCAAACAGATTGCCCGCTACCCCGTGGTGCGGAGCGAAATCCGCACCTTTTCCTTCGATGGACGCACCACCCAGTGGGAACAAGACAATGTGTTTGTCGGTCGATTTCCTGATCGAGTGATGGTCGGGTTACTGCATTCGGATGCCTTCAATGGAAACCTACAACGCTACCCCTTTGCCTTTGAAAAGTTTGGGGTCACCCAAATACGACAGACCTTGAATGGAGAAGAATACCCTTACAGAACCCTGCAATTGACTGGAGATCAAGCCTATGAAGATCTACTGGGGTACGATCGATTTCTGCAAGCCATGGGTGTCTATGATGAAGACAAGATTCCCATGCTGCTGCCTGGTGATTGGGGACAAGGCAACAACTGCACATTGTTCCTGTTCAACAATGTACCCAGTGGCAAAGCTGATGACCCTTAGTATCGCAACCCCCATCAATCGGGCAATGTGCGACTGATCATTGATTTTGCAGCCGCGGTCGGTCACAACATCACCGTGTTGGTCTGGAGCGAGTATGAAAACATGTACGAGATCAATCATATGGGAGGTATAAAGTACAACATTAACAGCTGAAGTGGATTCAGAAGACAGAAGACACGGGTCATGGAGTTTGTGGCGCTCGTGACGTGTAATCCTTGTGATTTCTTAAAATAAAAAAAACATCATAAAACGAGCATGTGTGGTGCCAGCGTGGTCATTGTAGTATTAGCATCATCATGATTACGCGAAGCAATGTCCAGCGGGTGATCGATGCCTTTCTCTTAGAAGAAACTTTGTATTGGTGGTTACACCCCATTGAGCGGGTGAACACCGTCCAAGGCGTCGATGCCTGGGATGGGTATCATTGGCTCATGGCCCGCCAACTAGCGCAAGACCAAGATTGGGTCGCGCTCAAACAGTACATGGACACCATGGGTGAAACGCATTTAAGAGAGACGATGGAAGGAGTGATTCAGTTCGAATCGCCACGCCTCTACCGCGAGTATTGGACGGCATGCCCAGCCACAGACGACGACGACGACGACGCGCCTCGTCCCAACGACGACCCCGCTTTCGTCAAAACGGGCGGGGCCTCATGAGCGTGTTGGCCAAAGCCTATAAAATCGGGGATAAATTGGGACGTGACAAACGGTATAAACGGATGGGCGCCAAAGGAGCCACGGGTCATTATCGACGTCATCCTCGACCGTGGGAATCATGATTCGTCACCCCAGTAGTGTGATCATCGCGGGTCCGTCGGGGAGCGGCAACACCGAATTAGTGGAACAGTGGTTACGAGACCAGAACCTCTTTCAAGTCAAACCTAGGAAGATCGTCTATGCATACGACCGATGGCAACCCCGGTTCGACCGTATGCAAAAGAAGGAGGGGATTCAGTTTTATCGCGGGGTCCCGGACCCTCGTCAATTGACCCAATGGTTTGGTCGGACGCGCGGCGGGGTGCTCGTCTTGGATGATTTGATGGAAGAAGGGGGACAGGACAAGCGCGTGTTGGATTTGTTCACCAAAGATTCCCATCATCGGAACATTACCGTCTTGTATTTGACGCAAGATTTATTCCCGCCGGGTAAATTTGCCAAGACCATCAATCGCAACGCGCATTACATTGTGGCCTTCAAGAACCCTCGGGATCAAACGGGCATACGGACCGTGTTACTGCAAGCCTTTCCCGACCGATGGCGTCAAGTCCTGCGCCTATTTAAACGCCTCACGTCTCATCCCTTTGGCTATTTGATGTTGGATGTGCACCCGGCCTCGGATGATCGGTACCGTTTGTGGAGTCATTTAACGCCCCGCGAAGGCAAGGCGCAAGTCCATACCCTCCCCGTGGATGTCCCTGCCGTTCGAAAACGAACTGCAACGAGAACTCGCCAGGGTCCGTCGGCAAAGAGAAGGCGGACAACGTGACTTATCGATTCGTATGGACACGCCGACCTTCTCGCCGGCTGGGGTGGGCTCCCCGACCGCCCCTCCCCCAGATCTCAGCAGCATGACGAACATGGTGACCGAATTGACCCGACCGGTCGATCGAGCCCAATTGGATCAAGAGATTGAGGATTTTCAATTGACCTACCCGGTCAATGTGGACGATGCCTTGAACGCCTTCACTTTACCCCCCGTGGCAGGCACAGGCACCACCCCGGCCACCACCACCACGGCACCACCACCACCACCACCACCCTCCATCACCACCGCTCCCACCACCACCGCCACCCAAACCCGACCAGTGACGTCCACCCGAACACGTCCCACGGCCACCACCACCACCACCGCCAGCTCCAGACGACCCAGACCACGCCCTGTCACCACCGCCACCACCACCACGGCGCCCTCCCGCCCTCTCACCGCCCGCCGCAGCGCTGGAGCCGGGACCAGGACCACTACCTCCACGGTGACGACCCCCACGGGACGTCCCACCATCGCGGCCAAACAACCGCGACGACGTCCCCGCGTACCCTCCCCACCGTCCCCGGATTCCTCCCCTCCGTCGGAGGATGACGATGACGATGACGATGATCGAGGACGAGGCTTAAGGCGACGGTTGGATCTACTGAATGAAGATGCGCAAGAACGGGCTCGAGGGAGACGCATTCGCAATATCACGCGTACCAATACGGTGACCACCGTGTATGAAGAGGGTGGGAGACCGTCGGTGCGCCGCACCTCGACGCGCACCTCTGGTCCACCCCCACCCCGTCGAGGCCGTGGCCGTGGCCGAGCCCGTGGCCGGGGTCGACGCCCGTGAAGCTATAAAACCAGGGTTCCTTCCTTGGACCGTCCCAAAACCATGTGTGGCCGATGTCGAAGCGCTATGTGTGGCAAATGTCGAAGCACCAAACGCAAACGCCCACAACGACGGCGCAAGATGAAGGGTGGGACGGTGCCGTTTGTGGTGGATTGGAAGAAAGGCATTGAGTTGTTAAAGGACAAGGAGATGTGGAAGACGCCTTCCAAAGCCGAAGTCAAGTCCGCCAAACGACGGGTGGCCGACTATAAACGCCAGTATCGTGCCAGTGGTACGAGGGATTCCTACAACACGTGGTTGGTCAAGAAGGGGTATGCCAAAAAAACGGGGTGCAGTGTGATGTGAAAAAAACTGTATAAAAAGAGGTTGGTGGTGGTCAGCGCTTAGAACTGTCATGGGATCCCAACGCAAACGCCGACGCACCACGACCCGACGTCGCCGACCCGCCAAACGACCACGGCGTGTGACCTACAGTCAAGTGGGGGGTGTCGGGCCCGGTCTACCTATCGGGATTCTCAAAGCCGGCTATGGGATCACCAAAGCCATTGGGGATCATCAACAAAAGCGAGCCCAAGCCATTATTGACAAACGTACACGAGAGTGGGAATCCGGCAAACGGAAACGCTATGCGGGGGAATCGTTTAATTGTTCCATCATGTAATGAAAATGTATAAAAAGACCTGGATGGACCTGGACGGGTGTTAGTTGAACGATGGTCCGTGGACCCAATGGACGCCGACACCGTTATGTCCCCCGAAAACGACGTCGACGACGTGGGTTGCAACGCGGAGGCGGGCTACCGCTGTTGGCAATGGCTCTCTCGCCTTGGGCGTTCAAGAAGAAACGTCGACGGACGCGTCCACGTTAGACGCGATCCAGTGCTCAAAAAACGAAAAAAAGCTGTCACCTTCACCTAAGAATGGGACCCCAACTATGATGCCTTGTTATGCCATCAGTGTCGCACGCATATGCAATGCTATTATCATGGCGAATTGTGTGGCAGGTGTGGAGCCCTTTTTACCATAAATAGACCTTGTTCATTGCCTGAACTGAAGATTCATCATGGGGTGGCGCATGGAACGTCAAGCCCCGTTCTTGAAAAGTGTCTTACAAGAAGCCAATCAGCATAAACGACAGGAATTGTTACGGATGGCCAATGCCGATCAGATCAATGCCATCACTGAATTGGTGATGAACACCCTTCGTGGCACGGTGCCCCGGTCGCGACACACTATCACGTTGCTCAAACCCCACGCACAGAGTTTACGCGCCATGGCCAAACCCGCGCATTCGGTGAAACGACGGCGCGCTATCATGATGGCTCAAAAAGGCGGCGCCATCTGGCCTGAACTCTACCGATGTTATAAACGTTGCATGCGCTAAAGGAGACACGTCAGTTGCATCATGGAACCCGACATGGTGAGCACCACAGTGGACAACGCCCCTGCCTTTTTACAATTAAAAGAGAAGTACAAACAAGAATTGGTGGAAGACACGCGTTTGAGTAAAGCCGCGGATTTGGCTGCCAAACAACATGTGCTCCTGACCAGTGAGGTCCCCGATGCCTGGAAACGACCTCAACTCAAAGCCGTGGGCCGGCAGTTACGCCATTGGACCAAAAAAGTGCGCCAACCGTTTGGGGCCCCGGCGGGGGGTGTGAGTGCTGCAGGGGCCGCCACGCCTGGTGAGGATGATGAGTTTGAAGCGGGGCCTATGCAAGCGTGGTTCACGCAATTGGTCAAGGCGACCCAGGGTATAAAACAAGGAGCCATGCCGGGTGGACCCAGAAAACCACCCGTCCCGCCTAAACCGAACATCACCCCCAGTGCTAAAAAGAAACTCAAGTTTACGCGCCCGCTGAGTAGCGCCGAGTTGGCGAAAGAGTTGCCCTTTTCAGACACGTACGGTGTAGAACCTTGGGATACCCCCAGTGAACGGGTGGACTCCATTAAGAAATCGCTCAAGCGCGGGATTCGCAAAAAAGCCGCCGAGGTCGCCAAAAAGAAAGGCAAAAGTCTGGCCAAGAAAGCCTTGGATTGGAAATCGTGGAAAACCCCGTGATGGGACGGAGACGCCGTGTGGCTACCTCCCGGGCCCGACCGAAGCGACGACGACGATCGCAACGCGGGGGCAAGTTATTTGATGTGCAACATCTCCTCAACAAGACGGGTATTGAACTTCATTGGCCCGGCTATCAGTACATGGGCCCTGGAACACATTTGAAAAAACGATTGGCCCGTGGGGATCCCGGTATCAACCGGTTAGACAGGATTGCGAAAGTGCATGACATGGACTATGATAAAGCCAAGAGCTTGAAAGACAAATGGGTGGCGGATCGCAAGATGATTGCCAAGATTGATCAACTCCCTGGTCGCAAAAGCCTGACGGAACGGATTGTCCGACGCATTATGAAAACCAAACTGAGATTGGGCATGTGAATTACTTAACACAGTCATAAAAAGACACTATTGTTACATTGCAACAACCCATGTTTTAATAAAACTCATTTTTTTGTTCTTACAAGTAGTGGTCCATTTGCTGTAACGCGTTCGTCCGAAGGGAATGTACAGGGTCCTCCTCAGGCTCGGACTCGGCCCAGTCTAAAGGTAACCACGGGAGGGGAAAGGGACGCTCCAGGTGCTCGTCTAACTATCGCCATTGTTGACGTTGACTTCGCCGCTCGTATTTTCGCGACTGCAAGGCTTTCCATAAATCCACACCCATGGCTTGCTTCCTATCGGCTTGCAAGGCCCGCCGCCGTTGATTCACGCGTTGTTTGTACGCCTCGTACGTCCCTTCCTCTTTCATGCGCTGCATCCAATTTTTCTGGCTTTGCGCATTCCTGCGTCTGACATCACAGCGTTTTTCCTCCGTCATGGCGTGGTAGCGTTTCAAACTCTGTTCGGCTTTTTTGGCGGCAAAGTCCTTATACTCCCCAGTCGCTTTCATGCGCGCCATGCGCTCGTGGTAGCGTCGACGGTGCAGGGACTTCACCTCCTCGATCCCGTTTACCCTGGCATAGAGTCGCTGCCGATACAATTTTTGTTTGCGTTTATGGGCCTCGGGGTCCCGCTGTTTTCGGCTCGATCGGGGCGTATCCATGCTCCAACTCTAGTAACCGGGTAGCACATACGTCCGCCAAGGCTCGTAGTTTTCGGAATGGACTCTCTTTGACCTGTCGATGCTTGGCACGTCGGTCCCGCTGCAGCTGCTTAAGGTGCTCGCGGTTCCGGTGGTAGTAGTCTCGATTCAATAAGCGCACGTAGGCCGCGTTTTTGGATCGATATCGACGGCAGGCCGCTAGGTTGGCTGTTCGGGCTTGGGCTTTCTGTTCGGGGGTAGGAGCTGGTTTAGGTGGTTTGGGCGGTTTCAACTTTTTCTGGGCCGCTCGTTTTTCACGTTTCTGCTGTAGTACTCTCTCCTTGTTTCTGACGTACCATTCGTGTTTCAACTGTTTCTTCCTCTCGGCATTTTCGTCAGACATCTCGATCGCAACTGACGTCTGTGCTGGACGATGGATTTTATCTAGGGTCCCATGGACCAATCACACGTCTCGCTCCAGGCCCAGAGGAGACTGAAGGAGTCTGTACCCATGGGGGGACCACCCCTGATCTTCTTCCTGTCGATTCACCCCCTCACCTGACTCTCACCTGAGCTTGGTGGACCAATCCCAGTGCGTGAGGAATCACGTGAGAGGGTCTATAAAAGTCCACGTCCAGCGCGGGAAAATTCAAATGGTTTTTTCCGCTGTCATGGCGGAGGAGTATCCTTTCAGTGACGACGAGGGGGATGCTCTGTTGGACCGTGCCTATGACCGGTGGGAACAGATGGGAGGGGCTGCCGCTCGTGGCCCTCTCTTTCAATTCACCATGCAACCTATGGGTCGACGACGCCGCTGGCGTGATGTGGTGGAGCGGGCGCAATTCAATGCGCAATTACGGCAGTTGCGGGATCCTGTCCCTGGGGACAATATTGGTATGGCCTTGACCGAAGCGCTCCATCAAGCCATTGAAACAGAACTCGGTCGCGAGCAGCGACCTGCGCATCATTTTGTGAATTTTGCCATTACAGCGCATGGGTTCACCCACGCTTATCAAACAGCCAATTTTACCGTGGGGAAGTTTTTACAACGCACGGCTCGTTTGGATGAGATGTTAGCCACGTTGGCTGGCAAGTTGAATAGCAATGAAGCCTTCAACCCCGATCGCGGTTTCCAAGTGGATGTGGTGTTTGTCTCTATGCCCGGCCCAGGGTCCGGTCGACGCAAAGAACACAATGCTGGACGTTTATGCCTGGATCGAGAAAACAAGAAAAAACAATGCATTATTACCATCAAAAACAAAGATGCCCTATGCTGTGCTCGCGCTATCGTCACCATGCGAGCTCATTGCTATAAAGATCAAGGCGTGGACGGGTTTCGCGACTGGGACAATCTTAAACGTGGTCGTCCTCTTCAGCAACGTCAAGCTCAGGCCCTCCGCAAGTTTTACGGCGACCATTGCCTTCGTCATCATGTGGTCAGCAAACAATGTCAATCCATTAAAGTGTGTCTCAAGTGTCAAGCTCAGTATAACGTCCTCCCTAACAAACGTCACCAGTGTGGGTACGCCAAGTGTCCTGTGTGTCAAGAATGGGTGCCCATTCAATACCACAAGTGTTACATTCAGCCCGTGGTCGAGAATGAGGAAGAACCCACAGAGGAGGGGGGAGGTAGCATGGTGGCGCCACCCCCACCCCTGTTTGTTTACGCCGATTTTGAAGCCATGCAGAATGCAGAAGGAGTGTTTGTGGCTAATTTGTTATGTTATTCGTCTAGTGAAGAAACCACTATTCATGTGTTGGAAGGGGAGGACTGTGCCCTACAATTTTTTCGCGATTTAGATGATCTCACCGAGGTCCCGGACAGGGAGAGTGAGCGGACCATTCTCGTGGTGTTTCATAATTTGAAAGGCTTTGATGGCATGTTTATTCTGCATGAACTGTACCAGCAACAACGCGAAGTGGCGGATCAACTGACGGTGGGCGCCAAAGTGTTGTCTTTCAGGAGTGGAGCGGTCAAATTCATTGACTCGTTATGTTTCCTACCCATGCCACTGGCCTCGTTTCCCAGCACCTTCAATTTGACCGAATTAAAGAAGGGCTTCTTTCCACATTTGTTTAATACCCCGGATCATCAACAGTATGTAGGCCGCATCCCCGATTTGGAATTTTATGATCCTGAGGGCATGATGGCCAAAAAGAAAGACGAACTGACGCGTTGGCATGCCGACCAAGTCCGTCGTAACGTGCGGTTTGATTTCCGTCAAGAAATGATGGACTATTGCAAATCAGATGTGGCTCTGTTGAAAGCGGGGTGTGAAGCGTTTCAGCAAGAATTTGAATGGCAGGCTGGTTTCAACCCCATGGCCAAATGCATTACGATTGCCAGTGCCTGCAATCTGTATTGGCGCAAGCACCATTTGACCCCCGACACCATTGCTGTCGAACCGCTTGGGGGATGGCGAGGCGCCCAAGTCAACCAATCCCTCAAGGCCCTGCAATGGCTGTATTACCAAGAACACCTCCTTCCCAAAGAGGGGGCTAGTGCCGATCGCATTCGTCATGTTCGTAACGGAGGCGAGCAGTTTGTCCGGACCCTCGTGAACAGTTATTTCGTCGATGGTTACGATCCTCTGACCCGAACCGTCTACGAGTTCCACGGTTGTCTCTATCATGGCTGTCCCACTTGTTATCCCATGAGAGATGTCAAACNCAATTTTTTCGCGATTTAGATGATCTCACCGAGGTCCCGGACAGGGAGAGTGAGCGGACCATTCTCGTGGTGTTTCATAATTTGAAAGGCTTTGATGGCATGTTTATTCTGCATGAACTGTACCAGCAACAACGCGAAGTGGCGGATCAACTGACGGTGGGCGCCAAAGTGTTGTCTTTCAGGAGTGGAGCGGTCAAATTCATTGACTCGTTATGTTTCCTACCCATGCCACTGGCCTCGTTTCCCAGCACCTTCAATTTGACCGAATTAAAGAAGGGCTTCTTTCCACATTTGTTTAATACCCCGGATCATCAACAGTATGTAGGCCGCATCCCCGATTTGGAATTTTATGATCCTGAGGGCATGATGGCCAAAAAGAAAGACGAACTGACGCGTTGGCATGCCGACCAAGTCCGTCGTAACGTGCGGTTTGATTTCCGTCAAGAAATGATGGACTATTGCAAATCAGATGTGGCTCTGTTGAAAGCGGGGTGTGAAGCGTTTCAGCAAGAATTTGAATGGCAGGCTGGTTTCAACCCCATGGCCAAATGCATTACGATTGCCAGTGCCTGCAATCTGTATTGGCGCAAGCACCATTTGACCCCCGACACCATTGCTGTCGAACCGCTTGGGGGATGGCGAGGCGCCCAAGTCAACCAATCCCTCAAGGCCCTGCAATGGCTGTATTACCAAGAACACCTCCTTCCCAAAGAGGGGGCTAGTGCCGATCGCATTCGTCATGTTCGTAACGGAGGCGAGCAGTTTGTCCGGACCCTCGTGAACAGTTATTTCGTCGATGGTTACGATCCTCTGACCCGAACCGTCTACGAGTTCCACGGTTGTCTCTATCATGGCTGTCCCACTTGTTATCCCATGAGAGATGTCAAACATTATGCAGTGCCGGATAGAAGCGTCGAGGAACTGTATCAGGCCACGCTCTCTAAACGCATGGCTCTGCTCCGAGCGGGTTACACGGTCATCGAAATGTGGGAATGTGAGTGGGACCGACTGGTCGACTATGAGCCCGCTGTATCTCAGTTTCTGGCTTCGTTTGATCTGGTGGCTCCCCTGGAACCTCGCGAGGCTTTTTTTGGGGGACGCACCGGTGCGGTGGCCCTGCACGCCGTGGCTGGGGAGGGGGAGGACATACGTTATGTGGATGTGACCTCCTTGTACCCATGGGTGAACAAGAACTGCCCTTACCCTAACGGTCATCCCAAGATCATCACCCAACCTGCCGACCAGTCCCTGGCGTCTTATTTTGGTATTGCTACGGTGGATATTCTACCCCCGGCTGGTCTGTTCCACCCGGTCTTGCCTGTACGCAGTGGTCAAAAGCTCACCTTTCCTCTCTGCCGTGCCTGTGTCCAGTCAGAGCAAGCCCAACCCATGTTGACTAGAACCCAGTATTGCCCTCATTCAGAGGCGGATCGCACGCTACGTGGGACCTGGTGCACGCCCGAGTTGGTCAAAGCCGTGGAAAAAGGGTACACCCTCATCAAGATCCACGAAGTCTGGCATTTTCCCCCCGAGCAACGCCAAACGGGTCTTTTCGCTGATTACGTCAATACTTGGCTCAAGTTGAAACAAGAGTCCGCGGGGTGGCCCAGCTGGTGTCAGACCCTCGAGCAGAAACGAGAGTATATTCTCCGCTACCAAGAGCGGGAGGGGATCCGACTTGATATCAGTAGCATTGTCAAAAATCCCGGTCGCAAAGCCACAGCCAAACTCATGCTGAATAGCTTCTGGGGCAAGTTTGGGGAGCGGATCAACAAACCCACCACCGTCAGTGTCAGGGACCCCGCCCATTTGTTCAGCCTGATCTCTGATGCAGCCCTCGATCTCAGTACCCTCCGTCTCTGTACCGACGACATCTTGGAAGCCGTTTACACCAGTGTCCAAGACAATGCCGTCAAAGGCACCAAAACCAATATCTTTGTGGCGGCGTTCACCACGTGCCATGCTCGATTGAAGCTCTACGAGTCCCTGGACACCCTCCAGCAGCAAGTGCTTTACTACGATACCGATAGTGTGATTTACCGATGGCGTCCAGGTCAACCCTCCATTACCACGGGCGATTTTCTGGGGGACATGACGGATGAATTGGACGGAGATGTCATCACCGAGTTCGTTTCGGGGGGCGCCAAGAATTATGGGTACACGACTCGCGCTGGCAAAGTGGTGTGCAAGGTCCGCGGTTTCACCCTGAACGTCCGCGGCTCCGCCATTCTTAATTTTCACACCATGAAAGAGAACATTCTCTCGGAACTAGACTCGCCTCAGGACTCTCGCCGGAATTTGAACATTACCACGCCTTATCATTTCGCACGGGATCTAGAGAAGAAACAAATTCAAGTGGTTCCGCGCGTGAAGCAGTATGGGTTGGTGTTTGACAAGCGTATCATTGATGTGACCACCCGGTCGAGCTATCCCTATGGCTACGAGAGGATTGGGGACGAACTTGATTTGTTATTAGATTTGTAAAACATGGGCGTGACGTCACTAGGGCGTCACACACGTCCCGCTTGTACCCAGGCTTTACGCGGTACGTTCAATAAAACTATGTGAAGAATGTGGATCTAACCTCTTGTGTGTGTTTTTTTCCCTATGGGGTCACGTGAACATGATGCCCAAATATGGGCATAGGATACGTCATCATGGTCACATGGGCTCAATGCTCGATGCTGATTGGTTCCCCAAAATTTTGCTGCGCTCTGATTGGTTGTGCCCTTGTATAGCCTCCTATACTACTTACATTGTAGAGCAGTCCCCTTTTGCTACGGCCCAAAGACTGGACACAGTGAACTCAAATGCTGTATTAGCCAATGGAATAATTCTAAGATGCATTTATGCTGTAGTAGCTAATAACATACGATGTAAGAACCTGTGTTCCTGTTTCTTTATGATTCGTTTTACAAGGGAATTGAATCAGAGATCGTTAACATTGCCAGTGTCAAATGCTTGCTTGTCAGGTGAGTTGGATGTGACAGTTACACCTCAAGATAACTATCTTATAAGCTAATACAGTGTTACTACATGTACATCTAAATTATTATTTCTTAGCTAATACACTGTTTGAGTTCTCTGTGGACAAAGAAAACTGTCTGTAATAATGAGCTGTCCGTAAAGTGGTGCTTATAATTTCATTTACCAGCAGTTCTTTTTATCTTAATATTCCAGATGGTATAAAAATTTAATTACGAACAACTTACTATTTGAAACTGGCTACAGTGTTGATGGGATGCTACAGTGTACAATAATACTTTGAAGGGTCTGACTGCACTCTTATCGATCATAGTCATTGCCTCCTGTGAGCCAATTCATGGATGAATTTGATACATGTACAAAAGAAAATCCAACACTCAACAATCAGAAAGATGTAATACTATGTGACCTCATGATGGAACTTAAAGAAAGGAAATGTATATTATTTTTAAGTTACATGTATTTTCTTACCCTTTTTTTAAGTTATGTAAATTGGTCTTTTGTTGAAGAAAATGAAACAATGTCAAAAATTAATGTTTTGCTGTGCATGCATCAATCATGCAACCATGAATTTGACAAAGGTTTGGAATTGAAAACTGGACAAGTTTGTACTTGATGTACCAAATTTCTCACCGGCTGAAACTAACAAGCATGATGTGCCAATTTTTGGCTCTAGCTGACATCGTAAATAAGAAAACCCATATTTTGGAAAGCATTTTTTGGCAAAACAAGAACTGATTATGCGTATACATATTATAAAACTTAAAAGTACTCAATCACAATTAATAAATACACAGTACAGGTAAACCCCCAATGCTAGCAATCTTCTGTGACCCAAAGAGGGCAAGTATGCTGGTGTAAAAAAAAAAAAAAATCCAAGGATTGCTCTACAGAGATATAACCATCCCTTTTCAGGGCTGTCATTACGTTTTGAAACAGCCATAGCAAATGAAGATTCACCCAATACAGGTCCCAAAAATTTAAATTACCACCTTCAGCTTTCCACTTTGATCACCTGTAACATCAAGTGAGCTCAGCTGTAACAGGTGTTATGGGTTACGGCCCCTAATGACAGCTCTGCCTTTTTATTTTAGACAATTCTCAGTTTATGAAAAGCCAAAACATTTTTATTCAATCATTACATGTAGATCTCATTACACTTTTATCCTTCTTTGGAACATTACCTGCTATTTTTCAAGATTATTTCACAAAAAAAGACTTTACATAATTATCACAAATATACCTGATCAGCATCTAATATAAAATTTTATTCTAATATTGTAGTCAATTTTTTATTGCAGTTAATTTATAATTTTCTGTTCTTTTTGTGTATGGCAATGTATGCTAAAAATAAAAGAAAAAATAATATTTATGCTGAGATACAAAATTAACTGTGCACAACATACACGTATACATAGATTAACAGCCAAAGAATTCTCAGTGAAATACAGAGGGGCAAATTATTATGGAACAATCCACCTGAAAACATTAATGCCATGGCTGATTAAAAAAGATGTCTAAGTACAAGTACAGAATAACTTCCAGCAAACGTTCAGGAAATAGTTTAAATTGTAATATAAGGTGCCAAACATGATAGGGCCATTTTTGTTCTCAGTTAAAAAAACAACTTTGTGCACGCATAATGCATGTACGGTCTCTAGGGAAAATACTATTTTTTTCACTTTCGATCGATCAAAATCGTGTCCCATTTGACACACATTCTAAAGAGAAAACGCGCTGATTTAGATTTAGCGGTCTTCCTATTAATTATAATTATAATGATTATTATTCTGTTGCTCAAACGGCCCTCCACCAGCTGTACCTTTCAATTTTCTCTTGTGTTGGACTGTGGGGCGAGAAACTTTAACCTGAGCATAAAATGCCAGCGAAGCTTAATAAATAAAAATTCGAATGTTTGAGGATACACTGAACTAGACCTCCAGAGGGTCCCTGAACTTCAAAGATGCAAGTCGATATTTGGTACGAAAACGGTCCACACGTTTAACACAACTGCCGCTTCCGTGCACAGCGGTACAAGCTAATTTATATACATAACAAAGCCCAATAATTTTTCTTTCACTTCTTTACAATTTCCTGTTGTACCGATGTGCACGAAACTAACAGTAAGCATAGAAAGTCAAAATTACCCACCTTTTTGGCATGCCTTTCGCACCCATGCCGGCGATTGCAAAGCCAATATCTCCGACAAATACCCACCACTGGGTTTGTCCGCCGTTTCCAAGGCGCTACATTTTCTAGAGAAAACATTCCACTCAAAACTTTCACCAAAATGTTTTTTGATCTCTTGCTATGGCAAGAAAACCACAACGCTATCACTGTCAAAAAACAGCCATTATTTTTTTCATCTCAATCGGCATTTTTGCCTCAGAGCCAATGACATTGCGCGAAATAGATCACGTGTCATTTTTAGTAGAGAGTGCGCAGACATTTTTCGCCGGTGAAGGTCTGGGGATTCTTTTGAGTGTTTGTGCATGCGCAGTAGGTCTATGCGGAAATACGTTAATAAAAATGCGGAGGACCTGAGGAGTATTTTGGCGGTCTCCGCATGAGCCTATGATCCCATTCACGTGACTGCGCAGGGCAAAAGCATTTTGGAGAACTGTACATGCGTACTAACTCCATGCACGTAGGCCTTCATATGAATCCGAAGGGCCTGAGGAGTAGTTGGGGTTGCTGCTTCCTGATTGGTCGAAATGGGTCACGTGAACAAATTGATGACGTATCCCATGCTAATGAGTCACGTCACCCCCAAAACAATACCCCTATTGTCTTTCTCGCGCTCTGAATTGTCACTAGCTATATGAGCCATATGTACTACATACTAGCTATTTTATATCGATGGTGGTGCTACATACTTCCAAAAAAACCGAAAGGAATCATTTCTCTTTGGCGACTTCTACATGAAGATCATAGGAGAGATAACAGAGGGAGGATTCTGGGTGTGTGTTTTTGGCGCAAAAGTTCTCGGAAGGCTGGTGGAAAGGTAAGCTAAAAGGACAAAGTTAGCCTATGGGACAGAGTATTCCGGATACGCTTTTGTTTCACGCCAGTCTTGTGACATGCAACCTTTAACAGGGGTCTTTTTTGAATGAGCATGTGCGACCGCTGAACAAACGATTGGCATGGAGGCTCACCACAGGTTCTGCCTTCATCAAAATGGTGCGTCTTAAGGTTATCTTGGCGATTATATTTCTCGTTGGTCTTGGCCAATGTGCGCGTAATTTAATAAAATGTGTTGTTTGTAAAAAAAACATTAACATGGTCTCAACAAAACAAAGTAGACCGGCTTCAACCTACCACGAGATAATATCCAATTTCATCTTCCCACTTGACCTAGATAACAGGGCGCGTGTGTGTAACGCTTGTAGGATTACGCTGACATCAGCAAAGGCTAAACAAAGCGCCGAAACGTTTGTTGATGTAAGTAGACACTTTCAATTTCCTTTGTTTTGAAATGGGAAAGGAACACAAATATTAAAAAAAATATCATTGCAAATTTCAGCGACTGGGTTCGAAGTGCGCAAAAGCCGGGCGCCCAAAAAAGTCAAAAATACAACCACAAAGGAAAATGGAAACGGCATCCAACGCAGGCACTCAAACAGCAGAGGAGACATAATCGTTGTCTACATGGCAAGTGGATAAAACACGCTTTGGGCAGATTTTAAGAGGGCCATATGGTCGGGTGCTATTCCCCCGGACTTGTTTGATGAAGTAGATGAAAGGATGAAAATGCTTTCAAAAAGTAAGCAAAATCCCATTCTGTCATTTTCCCAGACAGACAGACAGACAAACACACACACACACAGGTAGACTAGACATGCACAGAAGGCAAAACGTCTGAGTAAGAGGCCAGCAAACAGATAGTCGGAAAAAAAGCCTAAAAAACTGTAATACAGGTTACTAGATAGGCAATCACTTTTTATTTACTCTTACATTCACTGGATGACTTGCAGGGTGCGACCTCTCAAGGGAGTTACAGTGTTTAAAAGAAACTATGTACAAAGAGTTCCATAAGAAGCCTCCGATATATGATCCAGATGAATTGAAGCACTCTGCACTAGGGCTGGAGCCAATACTATATTTAATTTTATTTTGTCAGCAATGACCGATGAGAGACCTCCAACAGAGCGAATTGCCTTAAATCGAAAAAGGACTGTCACAATCCTCTACAAGCTACGTTATGGCCTCAGCCAAGTGTGTAACTGGCTGCGGACAGAGCAAGTGATGGGAGGAGCTTGTAGTAGGAGTAAAGTGTGCAGCCTTATGAACACAATGAGCCAGAATGCAGGCAAAAAAATTGACGAAGTGGTGGTAGAAGTTATTATAAACAAGTGCCAACTGGTATTAATTGTAGATGACTACACAACCATTCACTCAATAAGACGACCACAAGACGAGGAACTCACTAATGCCAATTTCTTTTGTACTATCATCATCAAAGTTTTCAAAAATGTTCCAGCCATACCTGCCTGTCATGTCTCAACTTATTATAATCCTTCTGGTCTCAATGTTACTTCCTGTATAAACACAGTCTCTGGGCCATCTACTATGCATAAATTAAGTCTAACATATTCATCCCTGATGCCTTCTTGGATAACTGACACCTTTTTCAATCCCGAATTTGAAAGACACAGGGCAACTGCTCATGAATACTGCCACCATGAGTCTGTTCAGACTATGAGACAAATGGACAATGTACACCTTGTTAACTTTTTCCAATTAACACTTAAAAGCAAAAATGACTTTGATGCTGCATTTGACCTTGTACTGAGTACCAAACTTTCTGAATATCTCAAGTTATTTCTTATTCCTCAACCTGGTGACTGGCCTGCTCAGTTCTACTCCAGACAAGTCATTTACGAAACCCTTCAGAAATTTTGCTGCCCATCTCATGTCTTTGATAATCCTCAAGTGTGCCCTACAGATCATTCATATGCAAGAGTATGCTCTTCTGGACCCATACAACAACAAATGAACGTTAGTACATCTGGGCAACCAGGAATTCTTTCCATAATTCCGTGTATTGGACCCCTTCACATCTCCTTAAATGGAAAAGAAACTGTGTTTCATGATTATCGGCAATTTTTTGAGACTGTCTATAATAATCTCTTTCCAAAAAGCAAATTGGCAAAGAATCCTAAGCCCTGGAGAATCAGTCTGATACTTGAAGTGGTCTACTCTGGATGGCTTTTTATCAGGGACAGTGTTAAGAGCAAATTTTGTTTTTGCAAGGACTTGGAATACGGAACTCTTTTGAATTTGATCGACAATTATCTACCACTTGTCCTTTCCATCTACAGTGTTACTTACAAACAAAATAACTTTGAAAAGTATCTGAATGCAATGATCAGGATATGGGTGATGTGTGTTTGTCTTAAGAGACATCATTACAATAAGGCCCCACTAGTTTGGCTTTCTATGTGCTCTTACTGGGGCATGCACCATCCTGCCTTATATAAACTGCTTCTGACAAATTTGGTTATCTTTGATGAGTATCCTGTAGAAAACACTCATAGTATCATACGTTCTAAAACCAACATCCATGACACAGCTGAACAAATACAGAAGAAAGCGAAAGTTGTGTTTCAGTCAAAAATGGAACAGCAGCACTTCAAAGAACACTTCACCCAACCCAAGAAACCGTAGTGGTCACTTAATAACCTCAAGTCTGAAGGCCAAATGTGCAAACATCCTTGCAAACATATTTACAGGAATAGCCAAGAACCCAGGGAAAGCAAAAATCTCTACTCAAGGCAAAACTACAAAAGCGTTGTTACCCAAGATATTTGGAGATGAGCCTGTCAAGATTAAAGTCTTACCTCTGGGATACTGCACCAGCACCATTCCAGACCAAAGCAGACGATGTGTTTTACCAGGGTGCAACATAAATGAAGATCTGTCTGGGAAAATATTTGAGGGCTGTTCACATTCTTTCCATCATTCCTGCCTTGGCGAAATACAGTTTTGTCCCCTCTGTCAAGCCTTCCTTGCAAAAAAAGCAGAGAGTCTTTCGAAAACTGCCAAGGAAGCTATTCTAAACCCTAAAGAAAAAGAAAGCGTAAATGAACAATCCAAGAACCTACCAGCAGATGACAGTGAACTAGAGGGTGGATGAAAAAATAAAACATGTGAATAAAGACATAATGGCACTACCAACACCACCATCCCCACCATTAAACCAAGTATCAAGCTCACCAAGCCAACCAAGTCAAGTTCATCCATCGCACATCCAGCCACCTGCCTCAGCAAGCACAGCACCCAAGAGACAACAACTATGCAAACGATGTGGTCACTTAAGAAAGGGACACACATATCCAAAGAATAGTGCAGTCAGATGCCCCAGATGCAGTAATGGTGTGTGTGCGACCCATGATACATGTACATCGACTCCAAAACATTCAACCGCTTTGCAACCAACACTCCATTATGGACACATTGCTGAATACATCTTACCTTATCATCTTTCCCAAGCAACAATTTTTGGTTTTCCAATTGAGAGCAATGCATGTACTGTCATTGCAGCCATTGGGGCTATGAAATTTCTCCATGGTGAACTCCCAATGCCCTCTCCTCAAGGAATTATCTACACCATTGCATCATTTGCTAACACCATGAGGGACGGAAATATCCATTACAATTCCTTAGCCACGCCTTCTCATCAGTTTAATCTGGATGCCAGGGAGGCCCTGCAGACAAGACAATATAACTTTGGACTGACAAGTTCACGGGACATTGGGATTGTTTCTCCAGCCTCTCTCACAAATGAGCTCAATCACATATGCAGAAGTGAAGAAAATCTATGTGCAATACTTATAACTTCTCCCGACAAGTCCATGTTGCTTTGCTTTAGAAATGAACAAAACAAAATAGCACTTTTAGACAGCCATCAACATGGTAGTTATGGTGGACTTATTGCAGTGGCAACTTAAGCACAAGTTGATAATTTTGTTTCGTTTCTGAGCTATATGTGTGCCCGTGATTGGGGCAGTGGTATTCCTGGGGCAAATTTAGCAGTGCTGACAAAAGGCTGATAAATTGCTTTGCAGGTATCTTGCCGTGTTTGAGGGTAATGCACTGAAAGTCTAGAAAGAGTCATAACAAGGACATGATAGGATTGCTTTAGCATCGCTGGTGAACAGTTAGATAACTATTAAGTAAAGCAATTCTAGACAGTAGGACTATACCTATTAATAAAATTAAGAAATGTTCCAGTTCACTTCAAGAGTAGAGATTGAAAAGATACTCTATAAAATACATATGCTTGTCAAACCCATGTCAAGCCTGACTGGACATGTCAGCATGTGCTCAGTTCAGCAATGAATTAATATATGTTCTACTATTTTCCCAGCACTTTAAAGCTACAAAATTAAGAGCACACGAGACGTAGATTAGTCACCTGGTGAGATGTTGGTGTTAGTCACTCCGTATGTCCAGAAAAATAAAAAAAATGAATATCAATAAGTCACAGTCAAACCTGCATTCAATAGGACCGAAATTGCTGTGAGGATTGAGAACATTATATCTGAGTGGAAAACTCCCAAGGACGGTATACCACAAGGCACCAAGTTAGGAGTCATTTTGTTCACAATCATGACAAATAATTTATTGCGCTCATGAAACCTTAGAATAAACTTTGTTGATGATACCACAGCCCTTGAAATAATCCCTAGGAACAGTGCCAGTGTACTCAATTTTGTTACTTTGCAATTGTGATGGCTTGTTATTATTGTCTAAAGACGTGACAAATTTTCTGGGAGCCAACCTTTCGTTTACTTTGGATAATACCTGTAGCAGTGATATGGGCCAATTGTTTGATTGGTTTCCAGCATCACCAGCATTAGGAACACAAGTTACTTCTGCGATTTTCCACACACGCGCGAACGCATTAGATTTAAAGAAATAGTTCATCAGGGACGTGATTATTTGCAAGGTAGCTGGTAAACAATCCTTAAGTATTCTTGCTGGAATTTGTCAAAGCCGGGTGCTTTATTGGAAGGTAAATTTAGGATAACATTCGCCACATCGTTCTCTACTACAGTCTGGAATTCAAACTGCTCAGTTAGCGCAGGAACGTTAGGGGTTGCACAGACGTTTGAATCCAAAGTCGAATTTTGGTCCTTGGCTTACCGATTTACTTTAAGAGCTGTTAAATATCCAACTTATTAAAACTGTTGGCCACGTTCTCATTACTATCATTTAACTGTGGTAAAGGTGGACGTGTCCAAAATATTAAAAATAATACAATGATGATTTAAACCAGGAGCATTTAAACATAGTAGCTTAACAAGCAAAAATATAAATACGTTTAAATCCATTTAGAGTGTACATGTCCGGTCAAAATGACTGGCGAACCAAAAGTTAGTCCACACAAAATAGTCACCTTGGCCGGACATTGTTTATTGACCAGCAGTTATTTTGAGCCCTGGTTGTAGCCAAGCGAGTGGCTCACCAACTACATATTATAGTTATTATATTATTACTATTGTAACAGTGAAGAACATCATTTTATTCAGAAGTGGCACGTGAATAATTAAAATCTATTCAAAAGCTGTATTCAAACCTTAGGGGCCACCAACACTACATGTTTTGGTGTATGATTTGGACTACCATGTGGCACATTTTTTTGCGGGTTCCAATTTTTTCAGTGTCTTCAGTAATCCGCAAATATAAGTTCCCGCAAAAAATAAATTACCGGAAACATTCTTTCTGCGAAAATTTACCCCACAATAAATTTCACGGAATTTAGCACAAGTATATTGTTTCGGCAAACAAATAGACAATGCACCAACATCTAAAATGGACCATTAGTTTAGGGTTTCCTAGTGTTAAACAAAACATATTTTCATTGTGCAGAGATTCATGATCTACCTCTTAGTAAGCTTTCAAAATAAAATTACACACAAAATAATTTACTTTTAACTTGCATTACTATATTTAGATTTCTTCAAGTTGTGCAAAATAAAAAAGGATTTGTGTTTCTCGTTGGCAATTCTTGTGGAGTGGTAAAATAGATAGATGGGAGGATGATGTATTGCGAATTCTAAGAAAAAATGCAAACTGGGTAAGAAATGATCCAGATCATATAATTACCTTGCCTCAAATGTACTTCCTGCAAGAGCTCTTAAACTACATTCTTCAGCTTGATAATTGAAAGGAATTAAAAATAGAATGTCCAAGTGAAGGAAAAACTTTAAATCTTACTTTGGTTGCAAATATTAATACATGTTTTACAATAATTTTTCCACAAATAGACTTTGTAATGCACCAAAAGAAAGTTTACGTTAAAATAATTTCACGTTATAATAATAAAATTTTAAAATTATAATATTTTCAATTTTATTGGATTACAGGTTAAAAATTGGCTGAAAGTAAGGAAAGATTGTGCAGATAGGAAGGTCAGTCTTATTGGACACTCCACAGATTCTGCTAGTTTTTCTCTTTTTGCTTCTATCCAGCTGATAACACCAACTGAAACAACAGTAGAAAAAGGAATTTACTATTTAGGATTAGGAATTCCTGATGAGAGATTTGTTACACCGTATTTTTGGCAGCTACCCAGTATTGCATATGGTGCTTATGACCACTTAAGAAAAACATTTATCCGTGAGGTGAAATACGACACTAGAGATCAGACCTTCCTCACAGACACACTGGGACCATTGTGGCAACTGTTAATCACTTACATGAGCTTATGTCCAAATGTCAGAAAAATGGACAGAGTGGTCCATTCTCTACAAATGATCTCCTCTTGATAAGCTTCTTTGACCAGCGGCCTGACACCACAAACAGGATTTATACGCTAAAAGTTGCAGAAATGCTGCATGAACATGTCCAGGGGTCAGAGGGAACAAGCCTTTATTTCACTGCTGTTCACAATCTAACTGAACCATTTTTTTAATCCTAATTTTGGAAAACCAGAAGAAATCCAGAGAGCACTGTTAACTGGAATAAGGATCTTTATACTCTAGTTAAGATACATCGAAATAAAAAAATTAAACTGCACTCGCAAACTAATGCAGCAAAACTAAAGGAAAAACGTGGTCATTTTGATACATATGGGGCTTACACTACAGCAAAGTTGCTATTCTCAGCTGGTTCACAACACTGCCTTGCAATGTTCTTGCATTCCAAAGATCTCGGACCAACCGCCTGCTCCCCACATCGCTCTTGAACGATTTCTAGTGAAAGGATTATTGGACAGTTGCAGGGCAAGACCAACCACCTCAATCTTTAGCCACTGCTCCTATATTTGCAGCAATGATTAATAAAACTAAAGACCTGACATTTATCACTGAAGTTCTATCAGAGTTGCCCTCTTACGAGAACATCAAGATCCCAGCAACAAGCAACAGAAATCTTTCTCACTTCCGTGCCTCAAAAACACAACCCTCAACTGCGTACCAATACCCTGAAACCTACAAAGAGTTCCACAAAAGACAACAAAACATGCATAAAGAGGGTGTTGAAGCTGCTCAACTCCTTGTAAAAGAATACTTGCCACCGGAATTTAAAAAATGTTTGATGGAAAACAACTCGTGGGACTTGCCATACACATTTCCCAAGCCAAAAGGAACAGTTATAGTTTCAAACAAGCCCCCTACATATAACAAACTTCATGTTTCTGTCGATGCCGACTTGGTAAAGGACGTACAAGCAGAAGTTGACTTAAAGTGCCCATAACCTAAAAAATTTTCTTTTCTTATCTGAAAGTACACATTGAAAGAGGAACTTCTGCGAAAAAATTTTGCGATTTGAACAAAACATGATTTTTTTATGATTTTTTAAAGTCTTCGAAATTTGCCGCCATTTTGGTCCACCATTCGTATTAGTCTCCTCTCGGCCGGATAGTATCCGTGACGTATGATGACGTAGCTTCAGGAACTTGTATCAGTTCGGCCTGTTACATCTCTTCTTCCCAAGCCGAGATTTATAATGCCTGAGAGATGCGTTGCAGCGCGTTGTGGCAACGTAAAGGACCCAGATAGGAATATATCCATGCATAAAATTCCATTCTTCGGCGACGTGTGTCCGATTAAAAAGAAAAGGCGAAAGAAGTGGGTCGACTTCGTATTGGAGAGGAGGAAGATTTGGGTGCCGGGGAAGACCTCCTCGTTGTGTTCCGAACACTTTGCTCCAGACGACTTTCAAAGGCCGTTAAACAAAGAAGTCAACTTAAAGCGAGATTTAAAGAAAGATGAAATTGGGGTTTGTGTTTTCCCATCAATACACGCTAAACGGAAAGGAGAAGATGACGAGCCGCCATCCAAAAAGAGAAGGGAAGCGCGAATGGTAAGAAAGTATTGTCACACCTGCTCGAGACATTTCATGTGATTTTTCTTTCTGTGATTAATAATTGGTCCCCGTACCATGAAAGTTAAAGAAAACACAATTGTTTGGCTGTTTTTCACAGATTGCTAGATCTGCGAAGGCTCGCCTCAAAACACTGCAAGAACCAGAAGCGACAAGCATTGTTTATCCTTCCACAGGCATTCTGGCGGTAAGAATTTCAACTGCAGGGTATACTTGGGTGTGCTTGTGTAAGCTCTTATGTTGTGTACTATTGAATATTTGCAGGCACAAACCGTACAAGCTGAAAACTCACAAGATATCCCGATCAACCCCTATACAAGCAGTCAATCGGAGGAGGTGAGATGCTGTGTAATCTTTCATAGTTGGAGTGCAATGGATGCTCGTGACTAATTCCTTGTCAATTAATAACTTGTTATTGATATTCCTGATTAGGACATTACTAGTAGTAGTACGACTGAAATCCAAAGCAACGCTTACCAAAGAAAATCCTGTGATCAGAGGTTCATATCCTTTTGTAAACACTGGGGTGAATGATGCAAGATTAGTATAGCAGCAAAAAAAGATGAGTGATTGATGTCTGATGTGAAACTTTAAAAAATTATTATCATTGGTTTTCACA